CAAATAGACAAATAAGAGTGCATGAGAGAGACGTGCACCAAAGTGATAAAAACATCAGCTTGGTGCGTGTATTAAAAATGAGTTTCAGTAAATTAGATGTTATATAAAAAGAATTAATCTTAAAAATTACTGGTACCACTGGTCTGTGTTATTATACTGATACCAATTTAATTTCATTTTTTCTTGTTAAACTCATCATGCTAAATTTACACTTGTGTTTCAGATGATTAAAAATCTTGATAACACCAATGTGGCATTACACAATAGAGCATATTACAGCTGTTCTTTAATTATAATGAGTGGTGGGCGCACCTTTAATCTCTGAAATCCACTTTGTGCCATTAAATTGCTCTGTAAGATTGATTATTCCTGAATTTGAGATGTGTTTACTATCTCAACAAATCCAAATTGTCAGAGTTTAGAGCTGGGTCCTTAAAATAGAAAAGTAGAGCAGAACCTGTGCTATTTACTGAGGCAGCGCTGTTCCTGCCTGAGAAGGAACTGCAAAGGCCAATATAAATATAACGCAATTAAAATCAGTCTGTGAAAACAGCCATGACTGCTGGGGAGAGAAGAATATGTTATTTGGCACTGTTTCCTCCTCCACCCCCCGAGTCTCCTAATGAGTTAAAATGGAAGTAATTAAAAAAGAAGCTAAATGTCAAGGAAGGATTTCCTGTGCTGCCTGTTCCTGGCTTTGGTCAGACAGAAGTGGAGTCTCTATCACCTCAATGGTGAGGCAAGAAATTGATTATTGAAGGGGTCAGTAAATATGGCTGAGATGTCTTTCTGTCCATTCTGATTTTTAGCATCTCTGTGGTCCTAATAACAAACTGGCCTCATGAGTGAGTGGCAGCCATGAGTCATTATTCAAATACAAGTAAATTATACAGTTAGCTATGTTATTCTGAGTTGCCATTTGTTTAACAACTAAATTGCTGTACCGTGTCTGAGTCATTGGTATTCCAGTCATGATGAATTGTAACCTGTGACAAGGTCAGAGTGTTGTAGGAGCTTATACTGCTCACTGGGAAAAAGTAGCAGACTCCTAGGATGGCCACTGTCAATGTATTAGTGCTTTGTGTTGTCTGTGTTTAAAAAAAAATGCAGTGCCTTCTTCGTTACTGCAGAGAACTCTCAAAACCCATGTGGAGTTAATGATATGATATTTGTCCAGTTTTGGGCCCCTCACTGCAAGAAAGACATTGAGGCCCTGGAACGTGTTCAAAGGAGGGCAACAAAGCTGGTGAGGGGTCTGGAACACAGGCCATACGAGGAGAGGCTGAAGGAGCTGGGAATGTTCAGCCTGGAGGAGGCTTAGGGGAGACCTCATTGCTCTCTATAACTTCCTGAAGGGAGGCTGTAGTGAGCTGGGGGTCGGCCTCTTCTCTCGTGTCATTAGTGATAGGAGCAGGGGGAATGGTTTCAAGCTGCGGCAGGGGAGATTCAGGCTGGACATGAGGAAGTATTACTTTTCAGAAAGGGTGGTCAGGCACTGGAATGGACTGCCCAGGGAGGTGGTGGAATCACCAGCCCTGGGGGTGTTCAAGGAAAGACTGGATGTTGTGTTGAGGGACATGGTTTAGTAGGAGCTATTGGGAATAGGTGAATGGTTGGACTGGATGATCTTTTAGGTCTTTTCCAACCTTGGTGATGCTATGATTCTATGATTCTATGATTCTATGATATGGCCAATGTAGTAGGAGTTACTAATAAAGAATAAAATTCAGCCTATGCATAATTTCATGTAGAACTGCATGATTATGATTTACTTGCATCAATTTAGGCACGTGGGAGATTCCTTTAGCAAGAGACATTTTCATCTCCACTCATCTGAAATAGTTGTCTCTGCTTTCAGGGTTGATTTGAAGCATTACAATCACTCTTTGCAGCAGGGCAGCTGTGTGACATCTCTTTCTTGCTAGTGCTGTCTCCTGGAGGAGTGTGTTGTTCACTGAACTCATGCTGCAGTTGTCTGGGTGCATTTTTCTGGTGTTCTCCTGTAAGGTGGAACACAAAGTTGTAGGATACTTCTTGTATCCACGAAGCTGTGGATAACAGAGTTAACTGTCAGGGTATGATTTTAATTCAGGAAGCCTGAGACTTGTGCAACCCCTTCTTGTTGGTACATGTCTTTCTTGCTTAGGTCTCCTGATCAGCAGCCAACCAAAGATAAGGATGTGTATTTTTTTGCATGAAAAGGAATACCATACAGTGTGATGAACATATGCCTTTATTACACAACTCTTCTGTCTCGTGGAAACTGCAGATTGTGTAGCTATTGTGTCACACTGAGTAGTTTTCCTTTTAATATTATCACACTGTGACTTAAACATGATGAAATATTAGAAAAAAAGGAACCATTTTAATTTTACTTTTTCACTAGGTCTGAAACCACTGTGTTTTATTTGGAGGTAAATTATGCTATTTATCTTGTATACATAAGTACCTCTATGAATAATGCAAGAAGTTGAGATGATAAAAGTAAAAATTACAGAGCTGTCCTTAACAGACTGGATTAACATCCAGAGAGCTTATTTAAAACCAACTGATGCCTCTTTTATACAATACAAAAATGTGCCATTTTGGAGCTTTTGCAAAGCCATTATAGTGGAGCGTTGCCAGATCCATTAACAATTCTGTAGTAATGACAGCTAGATAGCAGAGATGGGGTACAAGCAGGCAGTGGAAGGATCTATACAAGATGGCTTTTGCATGGATGTTGTAAGAAAACTTGAATGAAAAGAACTGCTATCAAAACCATAGCACTTTCAGACTGAAATGAACTACTAAGTGAACTAGTGTCGTGGTATATGACACATCATTTCTGTCCCTGGCATGGGTAAGGCACTGCTGGTGGAACTCCACTCATTTAAGATATCAAGGAATAGAGGAAGAATTTATATGACTGAAAGCCCGTCATTTTTTTCCATCTCTCCAGGCTTAAGAAATTGTTTTGTATCTCCCTAAAATTCAGTGACCAAAAGCTACTGATGGACAGAGCACTGCCATATGAAAGTCATGTAGTCTTTAGATCATTGGGTATGTTATTTTAACTTGATTGGCATCATCTACAGAGACTCAAACATGGATGCTCTTCTTTTTCCATTAAGCAAGCTGCTGATCAGCTTTGTTATCCTGGCAAACTGTACGAAAAGTGGTTTACCAATCAACTAATTTGCTACAGCACGAGCCTAAGTCAGATGCACTCTCCAAAGGGCTCAGCTTAAGAAATGCACCTTTGGAAAACTATACATTTTGTAAGTTAAAAACATAAAATTGACTGGAAAGAGCTCCAGGACAGGACTGCCCCTTGGCAGCAGTCTTTGAGGGAGAACATTCTCAGATTCGACACTGGGGAAGAGGGGGAAGCAAGAAGAATTCATTTACAATTGACCCATGATAGCAAAGTCACTCACTTTCCAAATAGGATTAAACTTGTTCTGTCAGCCATGACATGTGAAAAGATCATGGTTATAAATACCATTTACCATAATGAATTGGAAGTGTCTGAGTTTGCAAGCAGCACTGGCCACTGATGGACAGCTAGATTTATGCAGTGTTTTGATGCTAAAATTAGCTTCTGCAAAATAAAGGGAGTACAGAAAAGGTTGTAGCAGTGAGAGATTGTAAAACATTAAAAAAAGAGAAAAAAAAAGAAAAAAGAAGGAATTGTATTGAAGGATATTTCATTCAAATCATATTTGTTGTGTGTCAGCATGACTTCCTGCAGTCAATGAAACCACACTGATGTACGTATTTTTTTATTGAGATAAAAACTACACCCTGTGGTTGCTCAGTAACCTTAACTCAGTCTTGCATCAGGATCAGACAGTATTTGCTTTTTAATGCTTGCAGAACTAAATGTAGATTGAGAATCTAATTTCACAAAATTTGTGCGTTCAGTGTAGGCTTTATTTGTATTTTCAGTGTGCAGGCTGCCACGGAAAAATCTCAGTGGCTGAAAGTATATATAATATTTAGGGATGACTTGAGATTCTTTTTAATTGATAACGTACAGGCTGAAAACTGTCCAACATTAAAGAAAATAGTAAAAAGGCTGAGCTAAAAAGAGGCATCAAATATAATCGCTTCTTAAATTACCAGAAGGTTAACATATAATTAATTTGTTAATTTTAATTACTACCCTACAAAATGTGCTGGAAATATGCTCAAAGGGGAGTAGCAGCCAGGTGCCAGGCGTGATTAACTAAGGTTACTAGCAATTAGGAGGTCTCTATTAACCATGTTATGGAAATTTTAAAAACACATTTACTGAAACTCAGCAGGGTTTTCATCTTGCTCTGTATTTCCACTACTTTAGACTTACTGGTGTGGTGTCATTGGCTTCATTCTCTTCCAGCTAAACGTTTTACTGCAGATGAGATACAAACTGCCTTTTCTTTGTGTGTTATGCAAGCAGTAGGTATTTGTTTTGCTCATATAAACACAAATGATTAATTCTTGTTTGCAAAGAGTCCTGATGTCTTGGCACACGGAGTGCCAGGGAGCTGCAGAGTATTGCAGCTGAGCACTGGGAAGGCCAATCCCAAAGAGAAGGTTGTTGCTTTCCAAGGAGCTCTGGGACATGCAGTCTGTATGTACAGCAGGAGCGTTGCTGGAACAGCCTTTCCAATCCAGAACCTGCTCTACAGTGCTTTACATTTGCAGTCTAACTTGTGATTTAAAACCAACAAACCAAACTCACATCAACAATAAGAAGAGCAAAATTTCTATATGTTTGCTTTGCATTTTCAACCAAATGGACTGTGAATGAATGTCTTCTATGTATCAAATTCCACGATGTACTGCTGTTCTGTATTACTGCTGCATCGGTCATGCTGATGTGTCTGTTATTTGGAAGCATGATAAACCATGATCCGTGATCAAGGAAAACTTAAAAAAAAATGCAAACAAAACAAAACAAATAAAAACAACCTAAAGCATTGGTGTCAAAGGAAATTAATTTCCTGGATGGCTTGTGTTTTTCTCTGAGGCAGATATTGATGAGTGTGCAGAGGGGATCATTGAGTGTCACAACCATTCACGCTGTGTTAACCTCCCAGGGTGGTACCACTGTGAGTGCAGAAGCGGTTTCCATGACAATGGAAGCTATTCTCTTTCCGGGGAGTCCTGTGTTGGTAAGCAATGATCAGCATAGTGCTGGTTTTTTGTTGTCTTTTTTTGCGTTCTGCATGGTGTTATAAAGTCACTGCTGAGACACTGTCCTTAACAGTTTCTGTGTTTAAGGCAAAAATGAGAAAGCAAGCAAGCGTGTCTGCGTTTGTCAGCATCCCCAGCCATGTGGTGCGGGCGCTAGTTTAAGAAGCATCACATTTCTGATCGGTTATTACAGGAGGGAGGCACACAGAGATCCAGAGTGTGATTGACTTAGTATGCTTTGCCATTTATCACAGTAAGCTGCTCTACATCCTGAAGGGAGGGAGGGCTTTCTGGGGAGCAGAATGGCCCACGGAAGGGAAGGAGATGCTCCTCAGCTTTCAAATCTCAGAGCAGCAGTATGAGAACACGTTCGGTGCATGTTCCTTGTCGCTTTGATATGTTACTTTTGCATTCTTTCATATCTTCATCATTTTATTTTTGGAGTTATGCAAATAGCCCCCTGCACTCTGTGCACCATATTTGGAGAAAAACACCCTGAGAGCATGAAGGGAGAGGAATTTTTAAAGGGTGCGGAGGAGTTTGTCAGTTCTTCCTGTGATCACTTGTTTCTGTGGGAGGACAAAGGATGAGGCTCTGTGAGGGTTTATCTGGAGCTGGTTCTCGCAATCTGGTGCAGTGAATGTTCGTAACACTTTGTGTCCCAACACAGCAAGTAAGCAGGAATGAAAGGATAGTGGAGGCTCTGCTTAACAATTAACCTCTGCTTAACAATTTTTCTAGCTATTTATTCTCGAAAGTCTTGTACATCATTTCTGTATGATATTATCAGGTGCGTTTAAAACAGTTTGCCAAGGATCTCGTTATAGCTGCTACTGATGCAGTTCTCTTAATTCTCTATCCTTTCTTGGGAAATGCAGCTATTTCATCTCTACTCAGTTCTACGAATTTTCTGTAAGAGCATTTTGCTTTTCTGCTTCTTCTGTGAAGGACTCCCTTTTAATGCACTAAATCCTGTTTATCGTGCGTAAGTGCAAAGGGCTCTCTTTAAGATTTAAAGTATACAATTAAAGTAAAAGTTAGAATCATTTTTTTTTCGTATGAATTTATAAATTGTTGTAACACACATTCCAATCTTTTGCAAATTATAGCTATTAGGGGAAATAGGTCCTTGGAATGAGATAGCATTGTGATTTAAAAATGCAGAGGAAAAATACTTATTTTCAAAAAACAGTGTTTTGTAGATTATCCTGCCAAACTATATTAGCTTCTTATGTATTGTCCTAATCACTTTTTACAGCATTTTGTTACTTAAATACCATGTGAAAATATATTCTTAACCAGGTTCTCATATGTTAAGAATTCTGCTCTGGTTTATTTAAATACTGCAAAATGAGTGATGGGCAGAGCAATATTGAAAATACTTTATCAGAAATCAAAGTGATGTGAAATAGGCCTTTGAAAAGCTCTGAGGAAATTGGAGATACAGGGCATTTGCAGCATTCCTGGTGTCTGCTTGTGCTGCTGCCATGGTGATCTCCATCTCTTTTCAGGCTGACCTTAGGTAGCTGTTTTCTTGCTTGGAAAATACAAGACTCAGATGAGTTGACACTGGACTTGATGATCCTAGGGGTCTTCTGATTCTAAAAGACAGATGCTCAGACATGGCTGTGGTTTTGATTGGCCCATACATGGGCTCAGTTGCTGAAAAATCTGCGTTGCTTTTAAAGTGAAGGACTCTTGGCTATCTTAGAGCAAGAAGGATCCCCAAATTCTCTATGTTCTGTGGAAACTGAAAGGGTGAGTTTTGGTGAAGGTGAACCACCCTCGTTTTGACCTGCACAGCACACTGGAAGTTGGTTAGGTGAGGTGCTCTTCTTGCCACGTGCAAGTTATAAACAGAATGTGAAATGAGTGACATTATTTAACTAAGTTGCTTTTCTGAACTACTGCAGGATACCAGTAATGAAGGGAGTAAACATTTCTTTTGTTTCATTATACTGCTTAAGCTCTTAGAAATGAATTGAATGACTTTGGTAATCCATATGAACAAAGAGACTTCAAAATGTGAAGCTTATTTAAAAACACAACTAAGAATTGGTCAAAATTGGACAGTAATGTACATTCTTGCTTCGACTTAGTTACTTGAGCACTGGCTTTTGTCATGTTGCAGAGCTTATTTACACAGTGGAGTACTTACAGTCAAGGCCAGAGTCCCTCTCTATTTCAAATAAGAGGGTTCATTTGCTTAGCAACAGCATTTTGTCCTAGGATTGTATTTTACTGAAATCCTAGCGTGCACCTGAGCTGGATTTGGCCTGTTGCCCTTCAGTATGTTTTGAAGCATTTCTTCCTTCCTGAAGGACAGATCTTGGAGAACAATAAGCAGGCATAGGAGAAAATAAAAATAAAAATGTTGAAAGCTGCAACAATAAAATAATAACAGATGAAAAATCATAAGGTGGTGAGAGGGAATACTGAGATTTGGTGCATAGCCCAAAGCCCAGGCAGCTGGTGTGGGTGGCTCCTCTTTCCTTCTGAAGGTGACACTTGGTCATTGCTTGTAAGTTGTCAGCAATGCTTGCAGAACATTTAAAATATATATATGTATCTGTCTGGAGAGTGTTGTGATACCTCAGGGATTCTGAAAGCTTTACCTCATTGCCTATGAGAGAACAGTAGATGTGGTGGGGAAGGTCATAATATTGTGCTAGAGCATGGCAAAAAGGATGGGTGGCTTGGCCAGGGTGCTTCAAGCTTGACTAAATACGTTATTGCTCAAAATGTCAACATAGATGACTTGGAAAAGGGGAATATATTTTCATAGCCACGCTTTTACAAAAGATGTCAGCTTAATAAGGAGACAGTGAGCAGACTCAAATTAAGAGGATGTAATTTAATTTCCAGTGGTATCGTTTTTATGAGGCACTGGCCTTTCACACTATATTATTTAGAATACTGCTTGCAGATAAAAGACGATTGCTGTATCTAAGTTGCTACCAAAGTTTCTTTTGCAGTAAAAATACATAGGCTGTAGTTGCTTGGTGTTTCTCTTTTCCTTCCCTTTTCCCTGTCTTTTCCCTCTCCTTTTCCTTTCCCCCCTTCTTCCCTTTCCCCCTTCTCTACTTTTTTTAAATACGAATTTTGTTACAATTTAGGATTTAAAAAAGACCATCAGAATGCTTTATAGAGCACTTCTTGTCAAGATGCACAGTGTCCCAGTATTAACTACTATCCACTGTAACTATGCTGATACAACTGGTGTGCATTGTTGCTTCTCTGCACTAAGTACCTGTTGCCAAATGGTTACCTGGTGCAGTGGGTTATTACTGAATAAACTCTCAACACTGAATTTTCAGTGTCAGCCTTGAAGATTATCAGAACCTAAAAAAGGGAAAAACTGTCAAAGAAAATGCTTTCTTAGGAGAAGTAAACAGTTGTGTCACAAAGCTCACTCCTTCTGCAGGCTGAAAAGTAGAAGCAAATTAAAGTAAATTATACACATTTCTCTCCCTACCCCTTTAAGAGAGTTGATTCTCATCTGTAGAAAATTACTCAGTTCACAGAGCACTGAATTTCTGAGTCCTTTTATACACTGCAGGCTTTAATACACTCCATAGTGTGCTACAGTGTTCTCTACTAACTGGGTTTGAAATCAATAGAGAAGCAGGTTTGTTTTCTGCTTGTTGTGCCTTCTTTCTCTGTCAAAAAAAAAACTAGGTCCATCCCATCCTTCAGAAATTTTCCTCTCTGCCACTGCTTTCCTACCATTAAAGAAGTGGAATGTGGGCAGAAAGGTTTTCGTGTACAGAATATCCAGGATCAACTCCAGAACTTTATTTTGCTCATTGAACATAAAGCTTATGATATTAGTCTCTATCTGTTGATTTTGTGCTGCAAGATAAAAATAATCTTGCTTACTTTCTGCTTCATAAATTCTGGTTCTTGTGTTCTGTGAGGAATGTGAGTTTCATGTTTTAAGATAATTGTGCTTAGTAGTTCCTATACTTCTAGAAAGCATTAGTAAATCCTACATTCTGAATCTAATTTACTGTACAGTGTTCTTTAATAGACTATTATGTCTCTATAGAATACAAGTACCATCACGAAATATTTTCTAACAAAAAGAATGTGTCTGTTTAGTGGTTTTTCAAAGATGAATCCAAGTCACTTTTTTTGTTTTAGATGGAGGAGAAATACATAATTTTGTGACAAATTGCATGTGAAAAATGATTTGTCAAAACAGTGCTTAGTTACACACATTTGTTTGGGAGTCAAGCATACATTTTTCACATAATATTATATGTAATGGCTTAATGTAGCATAACAGTTAGAATTAGCACATTAGTAGGGTTCTTTCTTCTGCAACAACTTATCATGATATTACAGAGCACCTCGCTGCATGACATGCCTGCACACATTTATTAAGATGCTATAGAAAAGTCACACCATTAAAACCTGAATAGCCTGAAAAGCTAAGCAATGGAGTGGCTGGGGACTGGTTTGAAATTTCAGTGAAACCAAGTTAATGAACTTCTGTTGATATGTACAGTCATGCTTGTCGTCTACCCATTCAAATACAATGTCTGTGGGACCTCTCATAATATCTGAGGCAAATTACTTCTCGTTACAGCCAAAAAGGATGGAAAAGGAAATTGCATCTCAGGGGATTATTCTATTCCATTTTGATTCTGCTTTCTTGTATGCCCACGTTAACCAAGCTATATTTATGTACTTCAAAAGCATATTAAGAAGTGAGCATGTCTTGTGTGGCTTTTCTTTTTTTTCCATCCACACAAAAGGACTGGTTGCATTATAGCTGAAATATCCATCAGGTACTTCTGTTGTGTGCTTGTGTAGAGAAGCATACATTTAAAGTATTTGAAGAGTGAAGATTTCGATCAGCTTTACAATAGCCCTGTGCAATGTTTGAGGTGGCAAGTCTTAGCAGCAGTCACTTTGCTGTTGGTGATACATTGTTGATATAAAATAGCAGGCTAGCCCTATAAACAACTTTCTGTTTATAGTCAATGCTGTTCTGTTCTTGCACTTTTACTCTTGAAAAGAAGCTGTTCAGTGGAAAAATAAAGCCCTGCCTTGTTTACTTGTGTTAATTAGTAGTTTATACAACAGATGATCTCAATATAACAAGTAATCTTGCAAAATCATAGTCTAGGTTTGAATAAAAAGAGGAAAATGAAATTGTATTCACGGGTTGACAGACTGTATGGAAGAACTTGTTCCTTCAAAATTCAATAAAGGTGTCTTGTTTTTGAGTTATATAGAGAGAAAGACTAAGGATTCTCCTTGCTATTTTGTATATTTGCTTCTTTTCTTAAAAACTGCTTAGTTTTATAGATGAGTATTTCACCTTCTGCCTGGTGTTGTTATGATGGGCAATGCTATCTGTGCACAGTTTTGCCTTGTGCTTTGTTATATGTTGCAGTTGTGGGCCAGTATCTTCTGAGACCTGCTGTGGGAAAGCAAATGGAACCTGATGGGAGCATGGGGAATTTGAGCTGAGCAAGGATTTGAATAATATAAAAATAATCTATATGCAAGAGCTTTATCATACAATTTTCATATTCATTAGAAGATTGTTTTGGACATGTTCAGAATTTTAAACTGTGCTGATTTCTCAACAGCAAAGTTGACACATAAATTCCAATTGTGAAGAGAAATTTCACAGTGAATATGACTGTGTGTCCTGCATTTTGGTCACAACAACCACAGGCAGCCCCACAGGCTTGGGGAAGAGTGACTGGAAAGCTGCCTGATGGAAAAGGACCTTGGTGTACTGATGGACAGTTGGCTGAATGTGAGCCAGCAGTGTGCCCGGGTGGCCAAGAAGGCCAGTGGCATCCTGGCTTGTATCAGGAATGGGGTGGTGAGCAGGACCAGCAGGACCATCCTGCCCCTGTGCTCGGCATTGGTGGGGCATTGGTACAGGGCATTGGTGAGGCCTCACCTCGAGTGCTGTGTTCAGTTTTGGGCACCTCAGTACAGAAAGGACATGGAGGTGCAGGAGCAGGTCCAAAGAAGAGCAACAAGGCTGGGGAAGGGCTTGGAGAAAAAAAGGGCTATGAGGAGAGACTGAGGGAACTGGGGCTGTTCAGTGTGGCAAAAAAGAGGCTGAGGGCAGACCTTATTGCTTTCTTCCAATACCTGAAAGGTGCTTACAGCGAGAGCAGGGTTGGTCTCTTCTCACTGGTGACAGGATGAGGGGAAGTGACCTCAAGTTGCACCAGGGTAAGTTTAGGTTGGATATTAGGAAAAGCTTCTTTACAGAAAGGGTTGTTAAGCACTGGAATAGGCTCCCCACAGAGGTGGTTGAGTCATCATCCTGGATGTGTTTAAAAACCGTTTGAATGTGGTGCTCAGGGACACGATTTAGCTGTTAGAGGGCTGTTAGAGTTAGGGTAGGATGGTTAGGTTGTGGTTGGACTCGATGATCTTGAAGGTCTTTCCCAACCTGAGTGATTCTATATAACTGTTTTATTCCTTTTTTTCACACAGCCATATACATGCTGATCTCACATCAATGCCAGCAATACCACGTGATCTGCATTAAGCTGCATTAAGCTAACGTACCTCCTTAGGCTTACAACAAGCTAAAAATGTGGGAGCATTTCTCAGTGTTGTTGTTGTTTTTTTGTTTTTTTTTTTTTTGTGTTTGTGTGTGCGTGTGAGTTCCCTCACCACCCCCTGTTTCTTTCCTTTTTGGCTTGCTGAATGAAAGTACAAAAATACAGCAACATTATGAGTTATTTTCCTCAAGTTCCTGGGAATGCTGACTGTTTGTTCAGACTTTTATAAATGTAATCAGCAACAAGAAAAAAATGCCAGAGGGATGTTCTCAGAAAATTACCTCTATTAAAAGTTCAGCTGAAAATGAGTGCAGTGTCCAAGCCTTTTGTATTTGATTAATAGCTAAAACTTTTAAATAATAAATGTCATAAAATAATAAGAAACCATCATTTGCATAAAGAAAGAAAAAAAAATGAGCAAAAGGAGTAGCAATTAGGAATTTATGTTCATGCTGTGTTACTCAGCTTTGCTCGATTGGTTTCTTTGTCAAGAATGTCCCATTTGCCAGGTTGGGTCTCTTTTAATAGGGGCATCCTTTTTATGCGTGCTGAACTGAAAGAAGCAGCGGTGTCTAAATTGGATATCTTTTGGATATATATAACACATTAAATAGTGTAGCATGAGCAGGTCGACACCACTGAGAATATAAATGATGTTAGTTTTGATAATTGCTAACATCTGGCTTTCCATAAATCTGTTAAATTATATGGAAGCAGAATTAGTTTTCTGTGTCATAAGTAAAGAAATTACATGGAGCTGTGTAGGCAATGTGGCTTTATGTTCATCTGTGAAATCTTTTTCATTTTGAACTGCGAAAGATACCCCTCTAATCTGCACTGTGATCCCACTGCATACTCTATATATGCATCTCAAAAAGCCCTTAATATGGCGAAGAGAAAATTGACAATTGAATATTGCTTGTTGATGTCTGCAAAGACCAAGTGAATGCTGCACCTATGCCTTTTTCTTTGACAAAAAAATATAATGCAAAGTCTATTGTAAGGAAAACAGGCGATTTTAAAAAGTATTTTTAGTCTTACTCTAGCTGTTTGAGTATAATTCCTTCCATACCAATTTATTCATAGCTCTCTTCATGTCACTCTTCATGGCTTTTACGTCTGTCACACTCTGCTAACACAGTGAACAAGTTTCAGTTTCTCTTTGTGGAATCCCTGCTACAGCACTGCCAGCGGGCTTTTCAAATACTCTGTAGTGCTGTGGCAAGAAAATAGAGCAGTAATGTTCTTTTTTGGTGATTATTAGCATTTTGGCAACAAGTGATGATGAATCAGACAAGGCATTTTATTAACCAGATCAGTGGAAATTTAGTGATTTGAATTTCCTTCAGATTGTTTCGAGAATTCTTAACATCTTTTTTTAAGTGCTGGCTTTCTGAGGACTGGTGATCCCATGGCACTTACACGAGAAGCATGGCAACTAGCCATCACGCCCTACCTAATTAGAGTTTAGGAAATTTTTCTTCTTAAATTCTTTTGAGTTTTTTAAATTTGTTACTTTAGAGAGGAATTAAAAGTACTTTTGGGTAATACTGAACAGTTCTAAATTTCACTCTAGTGATAAAGGCATTTTAAATGATCTGAGGATTCCTCCCTGTAATTTCTAAATTCATGTAATCAGAAATTTTCATTATAAAAAAAAACATCAGATATTTCTATAGGATCTTCTTCTCTAGTTTCCCTCCCAATGTTGTTTACAGCTTTCACTGTTAAGGCTGAAACGCAGGAGACTCACTGGTTGACTGGCTCTCCTCCAGAAGAAATTTTTTACTGTAGCTCACTTTTCTCTAGTGTATAATGATTTCCTTTTGTTACTTTTTTCTTTGTGCCATTGCTAAATCACGCTATTCTTGCACAGCTTTAAGATTTATTTGTCTATTTATTTATTTATTTATTTAATGGTGTATAAGATGCCTCTAATTTCTTTTATGTTTGTTTTTATTTCAATTCACTTTGCTTTCCTACTAGAGTTCGTAGCTATTAGCATGGAAAACATTGATCATGCTAGGAGCTTATGAAGAATAGTGCCCCACTATTTTGGTGTAAAATCCAGCACAGAGTAGTCTAACAGACTGATTTCTAGTCACTGGAAAATCACAAAACGCCCTTGTCTGAAGGCAGATCAGTGATCAGTAGTTCCACTAGCTGTGTTGGTCTCAGCATTTACAGTTAAACCTGTTAGAGAGAGCTTAAGAATTGTTTGTGGAATCAAAAGAATGATGAAAGGCACATGAATAAGTTGAAAAAAAATCACTGTTTAATGTCAAACATACGTGGGAGATATCAGAAAGAAGATACTCTTTTCCACCAGTAAAAACACAGTAATTACTTACTATTAAAATAACATTTGGCCTGTGGAAAAACATGCCCAAAACATTATAAATGTGCTGTCTTGCAGATATCGATGAGTGTGCCTTGAAGACCCACACCTGTTGGAATGATTCAGCCTGCGTGAACCTGGCAGGAGGGTTTGACTGCCTTTGTCCATCTGGACCATCTTGTACTGGAGACTGTCTCCATGAAGGCGGCTTCAAGCGGAACGGGCAGGTGTGGACCCTGAGGGAGGACAGATGCTCCGTTTGTTCCTGCAAGGTGAGATCATGTCAGAAACCCCATATTGCAGTGCCACTGGTGCTGGCAAAATGCTAGTTCTGAGCCCACCGTGCTGGGGCAGAAGGTAAGCTCTGCTGTGGGCTCTGAAGCTGTCATTGGGAAATCCATTGGGTCTGAGTTCTTTTTTCTTTACTGTGCCAAAGGAGCTGCAGCTGAATAGTGACTAACTCTTCTACCATGACATCCTGTGGGCTGGAGCCATTTGGGGCAGGCCTTCATGGGGATCTCATGTCATCTTTCAGCGCAACCTGCAGGTGATCGGCATGCTTACTCTGCATGCTAAAAGGGGCTTTCAGCTTCTGTTTCATGTGAATATGCATCTCTCAGGACAGGTATTCATCAGTTGTGTTTCTCTTTGGCCTGAATATGTGTGAATTAACTGGTTAAGAAGGAATACCTAAGCATGACTAGAGGGCTTATCACTAAGCACTTCATTTTCTCAAGTGGAGAGGGCAAGGGCCAGCTTTCTCCTTTGCATCCCAGCTTGGCTGTGTTGGCAGTTTTCCCACTTGAGCAGTGCAGTACTTTTTGCAACTTTAAAGAAGCCAGGCATGATATATAAAAACCTACTTGACAGTTAACAGAACCACTTTCTTTTTCTTTTCTTTTTTTCCTTTATTCTCCCCCCTCCCCCCTTGTTTTTTTTTTCCTCCCCCTCTGGAAATTGACCATTCTTTTTGAGCATGCTAGTGAAATTAAAATACTTTCTTCATTTCCACTGGTTAAAGAGGGGCACTGTCACTGAAATGCACCCTAACATTCAGCAGAACTGAAGAATTGCACCAGTCTGAGGAATGGTAAATCTTACATGGCCACTTTGACCTGATATGTTCACAGCACTGGTAAAGCTGTGCTTAGTGCAGAAACACTATTGGTCCTTGCATAATTAAAATGAAATTCTGGCTACTGTGACAAGCTGAACATAAAGAATGAGAAGAGGTTTGTCTGTCCTTGTGTCCTAATGCTTGTGAGCCATAGAAATACCAGAGGGTTTGGAGGGGTGCAGAGATGAAAAGTTATGTTGATGTTATAAGAAACTGAAAGCTTCATCATATCTATATTGCAGTAGGATACCAGAAGGCAAAATCAAGACTTCAGAGTGAATAGAACCCACAGACTACCCTGCTGTTTTGGGCTCAGATGGGAATATATTCTTGTTAGTTGCTATATTTTTTACTTCAAGTAGCCTCAAGCTCCCTAAAACTCCTCCCTTCAGAAGCTGAAGTATACAACTCCACTGAATACATATCAAGGTTTTATTGTAATCTTGGGGAACAGGCTGGCTTATGAAAGGATTTCTAGTCAATACAGTAAACAGTTTAATACATGTGAAGACATCTGGTCTGCCTTTGCAGAATTATAACTATTAGTATTCCTATTTTAAATTGCCTGTAATTTGTTTTCTTTGCCATTTCTCATTGCTCTTATTTCTTATGTTGAATGCTGTTATTAGTGTATGAAAATACATGAAATGATTGACTAGTGCATTGAGATTTTAAACTAAGCTTGGCAGTGTCTTTTGCTATGACTCTTCCTTTATACCTTCCTCATTTTCTAGTCTTTTTTCTCTGTGAATTAACATTTGCATTTTATTTCATGCCAATAGCTGACTTGTTTCAAGAGCCAAATTCTTGTCCGTAAAACAGGGAGAGCTGCTTCTCCATCATATCCCAAGCATAAAAAAAAAAGCCTTCACTCAGCATTTATTGGAATCTGTTACTGAGACATATTTTATAAATTGTGATTGTTTCCAGTACTCCAGGCGACTCTGCAAACCTACTGCAGGGCTCTACCATTTCAATGCAGTTGCATGGAGAGCTGGTCCTGCTTGACCTTTGTGCAGCTTGCTCTGTTTTCAGTGAGGAAAAGGGCAGAGTGCAACTAAATCATTCCTTATACTTCTTACTCCAGCTTTAAAATGATCCTACTCACCTGCTTTCTCTAGGAAACAAATCAGTGATTCGGATTTAGAATAATATGCTTTCTTTTGGATTTTCTTTTGTTAAACTCATTGTAGAGGGGGATATATTTTGTGCAGCAACTGGAACGCATGGATCCTGTCTTGAAAATAATTCGACTCAGAATCCAGTACAAAGGAAATCAGATAGCAGACTTCACTTTGAAGTTCTTTAAATAAGGTTATTTGTGGAGTAGGATAATATCAAATATGAGAAGTTGTATTACTTCAGTTGTATTCTGAAGCAGAAGGATTATTCCAGTGTTTCATCAGACGCAGTCTGTTCAAACTGGGACAAAGTTTACAAAACCATAAACTCTCAAAAAGTAGCTGGATGTATAATTAGTGTAGCACCCAAAGTGTGTTTGATGCGTCCTCTACAAGTATCTTCCTGAACTATGGTGAATTTAATGCACAAAGACTGATAGAAATGTGAAGGGGAGTGGAGGAGAGTTTCTCTCTGCTGCAAAGAAATATATGCCTGGTTGTGTGTCAGGCTATATGTCAGCTTTTGTGTCCATCCCCTAATTCAGATGACCCTTCATTTGCTATGCAAAAGAGGGCTGGGAGATAAGCACGGCGCTGGGAACACTGCCCAGGTGAAGTGTGTTCCTGATGGTGAGAACAGCATGGTGGTCTGATTTCTTCAGCTTCTGACTTCTGTCCTTCGGGCTTCTGTGGAAACTCGAGTCACCCTTTACATTGGTTCCTCTGCAAGTTAGTTTTTCTTCGTTAACAGTAGTTTTGTGTTCGTAGCTCTGATACTTATGAAGCCCATAGAACTGTAAGAAAATCAAAGAGGAAGAGATACTAATAAGATGCTAAATGTCATTATCCCATCAAAAGGAAATAAATTATTTTCTTTCTATTTCTTACTTTTTCCTATCAAAACCCATAATGCTAGTGCAGACCTGCAAAGATGCAAGTACAGTGTTGTACCTTAAGAGGCTTTATGTCATTGCACTATAGGAATAAAAACATTTTCTGAAAGGCATAGAACTGATGAGATTTTAGATAAAACACAGATGCTTAAAGAATAAGGACAGTAGCAGTGTATTATGATTACAGAAAGGTCTCTGGCAAAATTATCGAGTCTTGTCGGTGTTCTGAAATACGGAGAGTGAAGGCAAAGTAAAAGGTTAGCTGCTCCCCAGAGGTAGGAGTGTGGTAGCTCAGAGTAGCGGATAACTACCAGTGCTGTCACCAGATGAAAGAGGAATTTGAAAAATAATCTTGAAAGCTTAGAAAGTAAAGTGGGCTCAAGCAGACAGGTAGTTGCTAACCATTATTTAACAGCACTCCATTACAAAGAGGGGAAAGAGCGCTGTTGTTGGTGGCACTAGGCTGCAAAGACACCTGGCACAGCTCACCTGGAACGTGATGCCTGCTGTGGGCAAGAGGTGGAGACAGTCCTCCTTTCCTACCTGTGGGAACAGAGATTCGGTCATAACTCTCCACTAGAGAAGATTTTCAGTTGTCTTCCACCACTTGCCAAAATGGGAGGATGACTTTGATTTTGAGGAGGAAGAGCTTAATTCCTGTGTTGCATCTGGCCAGTAGGAGCAGACAAGGAACTGGGTCATGAACTGTATTCCTTACTTTCTGATTTATCCCAACTACAAGAGCCAGGGAAAACAAAGCTTGTTAATTCCTTCTCCCGTGGCCAAAGTGACAAATCAGCCACAAGCACAGGATTCTCAGTTACCTTAATTTGATGCAAAGCACAGGAAAGTCAATGGGGCAATCTGGCCATATGGCCTCTGGCTATCAAAAGCACTTCAGAACCATGCTGAGCTGGTACATGTTCTACATTTCAGTAATCCTAAGTTTTTGCTTAAAAACATGATACGAACAGATTCCCACAGGACTGTTGTGCCTCTTTTTAGTAATCACTTATGAAAAGCATCAAGAGGAAAAATATTTCCTTGCTTTGATAGGTACCACTTTATTTGATGTCAGTGAAAAAACGTGTCCTGCTTAAATCAGATACGTGTTTGTCAACTCAGAACAGGTTCTGATGACAGTATGGAAAAGCTCCAATGAAATGAGCGCATTTGTTTTGCAAATTGTGCAGATGTGATTCAAAGCAGACTGTAGTTTCGTTTGTCCCTCAGATTGGCTGCAGGTGAGGCTTGCTTGAATAAAGAGTAATCCGATAATCAGCATTAAAATCAAAAGAATGCGATGTCTAAACTTTTCAATAATCTCCTTGTTGCTAACTATGATTTCAGCTCCAAGTCTACATGAAACATATCAGTATGTTGGCTCACCTATAAACGGTATAATTTCAAACAAAACTCTTCCAATTTTCATTTTTAGAATTAAAATCAATTTGTTTTTCTCTGATGCAAACAGTATATATTCTTTTCGGATGTAGAAGCAAATCTTTTGTTTATCCCAAACAATTCTGTTTAATGGTCTTTAACGAAATGTGCCATCCAATGCATTATGTAAATATTTAGCAAAGCCATATTTTGGAGAGCCTGTGGGAAACAAGCTATCTTTAATACATGGAAAGAGTTATCATGGTTGCTGATAGTTTGTAGTCCATTTAACTTTAAGCTCATAGGTTCAGATGTGGAATAGAGCCAGTTGTGAGTTCACAGTAAAGAACAATTAGTGCCACTGTGATTTTGCTACATTGTACTCCTACAAAGTTAAAGGGACCAACTTGAACATCAGATGGTGCCGTTTGGTGGTTTGTGGTTGACATCAGGGCAATATGTCCTTGCAGGATGGGAAGATTTTCTGCAGGAGAACAGCCTGTGACTGCGAGAACCCCAGCGCCGATCTCTTCTGCTGCCCGGAGTGTGACACCCGTGTCACCAGCCAGTGCCTCGACCAAACTGGGCACAAGCTCTACCGCAGCGGGGACAACTGGACCTACAGCTGTCAGCAGTGTCGTTGCCTGGTATGGGGTAAAGCATTTTGGAGGGGAGCAAGAATAATCATTGGCATTTCCAGTAAAGCCCACTTTTATAAGGTCATCTGTTCTTTAAATGGGTTTTTAAAGTTATTTCACGTGCGATGGATTTGGTTGGAGGAGTTTCAGCTTTTAATTACATCAGCTGGTCTGCTTGTCTTATCAAAATGAGCAGTGCATTTTTAACTCAGGAGATGCTGGAAAAGTGAAGTGCCAATGCCACATGGTGAATTAGCAAAAAATTAACCAAGAAAAGATGGAATAAAGCAAAGCCAAATTACTAGAGAAGCATGGAAAATAAAGAGCGCTTCTTTTCTCATTAGGCACTGTAGATTATTTCCCCAAAGCTTTATTTTTGCATAGATATACTAATTGCTGCAGCAGTGAACTTCATTAAAATGATCAGTTTTCCATTTATAGCTGTCTGTATGATGTTGTCTTCACATATGATATTAATCAAGAGGTGTCTGAGCATCAGGAAACAGATTACATTCAAAGCTAAGTTACCATTAAGTGATAATCATCCATAATGTAAAGCAGTAAAGCAGTAAGTATTCTGTTTTGTATTCTATGATTTTTTTAATGTTTGCAAAAGAACAGCTAGAAACTGAAACATCATCAGTAGCAATGGCAAATATGAAACATGATGTGTTTTACAGGGCTTACTGTGTTTGTAGTCAGCATTTCTTTGCCTAATTTTAATATTAGGTTAACAAACATACAGAGCTGAAAGACAGTGATGCAGTAAATCAGTTTATGTGCTTTATATGATGTTATCAATATCTTAAGTGTTTAGAAAGTAGTCCAATTTAGTACATGTGAATGCTACAATTTAGACATGTGAATGCTACAGCAGTGTCTGTTATTCACAAAGCTAAATACTAACATAAAGTCACCTACTGGAACCTACCTGCTATTGGTCCAACAATTCTTTTAGCAGTTGGCAGTAAAATCCATTTTGACTGTTGCTAGTTAGGTCAATGTTTGATGTTTCTTGTCTGCATGTATCTGCAGTGTTAATTTCCCATTTAAGTTAAGTTACTGTGGCGTTTATGTGACCATGAATAGAAAGAGGATATAAATATTTACTGCAAAAATTACAGTTTATGTACAACTATTGGAAGGCACTATTTGGTATTGCTTTTTAAGCCCCCAAGAACTCAGATTATCTTCCTGTATACACACTGTTTTTTAAGTCAAGAAACTAACGAATGATACTCTGAGGCTTCATGATCAACCACACAGAGAGCTGATCCATAAAATCTATATCAATTTTGGCAAAATAGCACTTTCCTCTTTAACAGAATGGAGATCTAGCTAATAAATGGCAATAAATTCAATGAGCTTTCCTTCATTTTTGTGCAGGAAGGAGAGGTGGACTGTTGGCCTCTTTTGTGTCCAAATCTAAACTGCGAGTACACAGCCACATCAGAAGGCGAGTGCTGTCCTCACTGCGTCAGTGACCCCTGTCTGGCTGACAACATCACCTATGACATCAGGAAAACCTGCCTAGATGGCTATGGAATCACGAGACTTAGTGGTGCTGTATGGACAATGGTGGGATCTCCTTGTACAACCTGCAAATGCAAGGTACGATGAGCAAGATAAAGTGGTAATGAAGATAGGGTCACTTCTGTCCTTGGATGCACTCGTTCTGGTTGCAGGGAAGTAGATAAGACCTGAGGGCAGAAAACCTGACCCACCAAAAGGCTGTGCCTTTTGTGGTCTGCAGGGTGGAAGCAGAACAATCTGTGCTTGTTTTCTTGGAAATGTTGAGCACAGATCAGTAATATCCCAGTGCAATTTTCATTCATTTTGTTGGAGAGCCCTTTAGGCATTCTTAGTATGAGTCCAGGCTAATATTTTAATAATTGATTAATGTGAACATTCAGGAAAACGTGTTTTTGTGCAGAGTTGGCAAGCAGAAAGAAAAACACTGATAGAAGTTTCACATGCATGAAAGTAGAAACTCACTGCAGCTCAGGCATATATACAGAATGGAAGGAGCAGTCCTCGAGTGCAGCCCTGCAGAGAAGGACCTGGGGGTACTGATGGATAAAAAACTGAAAATGAACCAGCAGGCTGCTCTTGCAGCTCGGAAAACAGATGGTATCCTGGGCTCCATCACTACAGGGCTGGCCAGCAGGGACAGGGAGGTGATTGTCCCTCTGCTCTTGTGAGGCCCCATCTGGAGTACTGTGACCAGGTCTGGAGCCCCCAGCACAAGAAAGACAGAGAGCTGTTGGTGAGGGTCCAGAGGAGACCTGCAAAGATGATCAGGGGACTGGAGCACCTCCCCTACAAAGACAAGCTGAGGGAGCTGGGCTTGTTCAGCCTGGAGAAAAGAAGGCAGTGGGGTGACCTCATTGCAGCCTATCAGTACCTAAAGGGAGCCTACAAACAGGAGGGGAATCAACTCTTTGATAGGGTAGATAACTGCAGGAAAAGGGGAAATGGTTTTAAGCTGAGGGAGGGGAGATTTAGGTTGGATGTCAGGGGGAAATTCTTTACAGAGAGAGTGGTGAGGTGCTGGAACAGCTGCCCAGAGAGGCTGTGGATGCCCCATCCCTGGAGGTGTTCAAGGCCAGGTTGGATGGGGCCCTGGGCAGCCTGGGCTGGTATTAAATGAGGAGGTTGGTGGCCCTGCCTGTGGTAGGGGGGTTGGGGATTCATGATCCTTGAGGTCTCTTTCAACCTGGGCCATTTTATGATTCTGTGATTCTGTGTGCTCTCATAACGGAAGTTATTATCCTTGATCTTATAAATTTTGTATGGCTTTCTCAACAGTGGGACAAGAACAGGGGGACACAGGCATGCCTGCTTTGTTTGCTCCTCTGTAAGCAGGTCTGAGGGGTGGGCAATTACTCCACCACCGTGGGAAGTACTGACTCTGCATTTGAGTATTTAGTAGGGAATACTTACATAAGCAATATGCCTGCAGTTTTCCAGATAAATGACCAAGGCAGTTGTCTCTGTACCAGGTAGATGATGTAGAGCTCCAGGAGGAGCTCTAAAATGGCAAGCTCAGCTCTGCCAGTGTGCCTAATTTGGGGCTGCACAAATATAGGATTGTCCAGGACTCTGGAAAAATTATTTTCCAGTGTTTTCTGAGAGTTGGGTACTTTTACCCCAATTCTCCTATCAGAATGCTGTGTTTCCCCAGTTATTGAGTTTAGAAGCTTAGGAGCTATTTGAAGTTGTAATCTTTCTTGAATCTGTTCTGGTCCACTAGGTTCTTGCCTGCTCCTGCCCTTTGCCACACCTCACTGCCCTTCACACAAACAGCTGTTCTAAAGGCTGTAATATAAGCAGAAGCAGCAAAATGGTTCAGAAAAATATATAGCTAACTTCACAAAAAAAAAAAAAAAAAAAAAGTATCTGAAGGTACTTGTCACAAAAGCCTGTTGCTGTGGATTTATGGCTTTAGTAGATACATTCTGCTTACAGACTAGGACTAATGAAAAACAGATAACAGAATCATAGGTTGAGTTGGAAGGGACCTCAAAGACCACTTAGTTCTACACCTCCCACTGCAGGCAGGGTTACTAAGCACAAAGATCGGGCTGACCAGGGCTGCATCCAACCTGGCCTCCACTGCTTTTTTCAGACTCCACAGAAGTTAAGCCTTGAATTCTGTGCTTTGTATCCTTTGTGGTGAAAACTGATCTCTTGCTTCTTGACAAAAATGACTGAACAGAATTATGAAGATGTGTTTTGTGTTGCGTAAAATGTTCTTATGTTCACTGTGCAAACTAAACGGTTGCTCAGGATTTTAAATTATAGAAGTCAGCTTTTCTGCCGTTCTTCAGAGTTTTCCCAATTGGTTTGTGGTGGATCAAAATAAATAGATAAATAAACATAATGCTCGTTTGGAGGCTTTGTGGTTTCTGTAGATTTAGTACATATGATAGTTTTGTAAATGACTGAATGTTGCAGAAAGGTATTTAGCCATGGAGTAAAGCTCAAAAGCTACATGCTGTTTTTCTTCCTGAAACCTACCCTGAACCAACAATGTGAATGATTTTCTTATTTCAGAAAAACAGAGAGCTTCTCTGTATGGGTAGGATCCAAACTCTTGCCATCGACTTTCGTGCCTGGGAGAAAATGAATCAAGTCATCTTTATTGTCACTGTTGTGTGCTGTTGTGGCCTGTTATGCAGGCCAGAGTCTTTCACAGCCAGGTTTCTAATTCACATGTAGTTCAGGTCAGTTCCGGTGGTTGGTAAATAGTCAGTACAGGGAGAAAAAGTGGAGATTATTTCACTGCTATTTAGAACAGCCTCCTCAAAAAGGCACCACAGTCGGGACCTATGGAGACACCCGAGGAGGATGGCTTACACAGGTATTTTTTGCATGTAGTAGATGCATCCACCTCTGCCAGCTAGTATCCCCTGTGCTTTTTGTAAGTTGTTCTGCAGCGGTGATTGACACCCACTTGTTTGTCTGTGCAGAATGGGAATGTCTGCTGCTCGGTGGATTTAGAGTGTCTCAACAATAACTGACGTCCTCAGAGTGGACTGTGCTGGGGGAGGAAAACTGATGGAGTTAACATCTGAAATGAAGCCGTATGCGTTGGTGTTTTGTACAACAGACAATTACCAAAGTCTCCGCAAGAGGAAGATGTTTGGGAGTTGCCTTTGGGACCTATCACTATGCTCATCCTTGCTAGCCTTGTCTGGGTGACTTACAGTACAGCGCATATAAGTCAATGGTTGTTACAAGTTCTCAGTGTTGTAAATTACACACTTTTCCTGTCAAGACATTTGCAAACATGTTTAAATTATTTCATGGGTATACTAATGCTGTATTTTTGTTTTAATTTGTGTATTGACAACATGATAGAATTCAGCTCTTCTTACTTTGGATCTAAATGTTACAAACGAGACAGCCTGTTGTGATTTTGTCCCATGATATCACATACTTAGTTCCAAGGTCCCTGTCGGATGTATTTATGAAAATATGTATGTATGTACAGTCAGATTGCATAGTACTTATATTTCACAGCTGTCCAACATTTTAAAACATTGAAAGGTATATTTGATTGGATAGAATGGAGGTAATCAAACTGAGTCTGTCTTATAAATGCCATGGCAAAAAGCACTTTCTTTTCCATGTGTGTGGAGCAGCAGCAAGACTCCCATAGTGAGCAATGCTACGAAAACATCACACCGCCATTTCAACACATGTTCAGAAGAGTCAGTAGTCCTTATCTGTGTTCTGCTTTGCAAGAGAAACTGCAAATGCTGAAAAAGGGTATAATCCCTCTCAGTATTGCAGTGAGAAAATGGTCAGCCTTGAGATGATGCAGTTTGAATGGATTTTGCAGTTTGGTAAGATTTTGCTGTTGATTGTAACGTCATCGATTAGTTCAGATTTTTTTCTTTTTTATATTTGCAGTGATAATGATGTCCACCCTTCTCAGTAACTGCTGCCGTAATGGCAAAGTGCAGAAGGTGCTGTGCCAGTGACATGCAGGACAGCAGACCTTAACTGCTGGTAACTTTCATTACCCAGTTAATGGCTCAGTAACAGGTTTTTCTCTTTTTTGTATTTTACGACATAGAAAAAGTTTTAAATTTACCATGCACACAGTGTCTTTTAGTACATAAGTTTAGATAGAAATACAAATGAAAACTCGGCCCTGTACTGAGGTTAGAGTTTAGTTTCTCTTCTGTTTATGCCTACTTTTCTCCGGAGGCTAGAAAGTTTGTGACACTAGAGCAAGAATATATTTCTATGATGATGACATCTTCAGCTTAAATGTCACCTTTTTAATGTGCTGTTGTGTTTTGTTCTGCTCATTTGTGCAGTGGGTTTTTTTGTTTGCTTGTTTGTTTGTTTTTCTTTTTATTCAATTAACTGAACGAGTATGTGGAAAGGAGTGCAGGAATAAGTAAAGTGACTACTGTCTGGACAGTCAACATCTGAGGCTTTCATAGCTTCGTGCGGAAAACATGACACTGCTAAAAGAAGAATGAAGTGTGACTGAAATGAAAAAAGAGTCTTAAATGAAGTACTGCCATGTTTCTTACAAGGGGAAAACTGGCAAAACAATATAAAAAATGATGTGACGATTCAGACAGTTTTCTTCCCTTTTTTTTCAAACGTTATTTGTTTTATCTAACTCTGGTTTGTGTGGTAAATTTATTTTCTTTAAATGCCCCGTCATTTCCAGCTATTGATGTATTGACTATATTTGCATTGCCATAATGATTGTATAATAAGGGAAATGGTTGTGTTTTGTATGATACTCCAAGGATGTCTGTAAATCATGCCAACTCATTTTGTATATCACATTGTAAAACCCAACGGTAATTCAGTTGGATGAGACATCCAGTGGGATGAGATATAAAAGGGGAATGATTTAAAACTTGTGGGCATCTAAATAAACTCCTATGTACAGATTGCTTTCCTTTATTAATGGGATTTTAAACTGCTAGTTGCTGTCCTTTCCAGGCTTGAACTTGTGATGTTGCTAAGAGGAGTGTTTGCCTGGAGAAGTAGAATCAGAACTGCAAGAAATTCTTCATTTATGCTTACGCAGACAAAATCGTATATTCCAGTCTGTCACGGATACCAATTTGTGAAGCTCTGTGAATGGGATTAATGACAGCACAAGGTTTCAAAGTCGTTCTTTTCCCATTTAACTCACAGTAGTGAAGCCCTTTCCCAGGATGCTCTCTGAAAGCTCCTGACCTTGTTGAGAGTGCATTCAACAGGTGCACAGAAATTCATATTTTGCCTTTCGTATACGGATTTCCTTCCTGAACCCAATGCAGATTAATTCAATGAAACTCTTTCAGAGCATTTTATTCTGCATTATGTGTCATTATCTCCAAAGTTACACAGCTTGAATTGTTTACATAAAGTCAAAATATTGGCACAGACCTGTTTACGTTGCATTTTAAGCAGTTACTCTATGATGAACTTTTCCATATGAAGCAGTGTGATCACTAATCACATCACGTTTCCAATCAGAATCTACATCCTCAGCTCAGAGGTCGGATTGAGGCACAAAATGTAACTCGCTATGATCGTCTGTGACTGAGGTAAGGATTTTCAAAACCTCTTTCATTTGAAGGGCCTTGGATCCCTGTTCACTGTAAACCTTTTGGGCACTGAAGTAAAACAGCTGCAATATAATGACTATTTTTATATCTCCCTTACTACAAGGAGAGATACAATTACAGGAAACACGATTTCCAAAAATCTCTTTTTGAAAGAAGAGAAGAGCAATAATTTTAAGGTGAGGACGATTGTCGACATGCATTTGTGAAAGGCAGCTTCCTGCTACTTATGGGGCTTAGACCAAACTGTCACTGTTGATAAGTGGAATTTTATGTCTGTTTCTGCTTAATATCTTGTAGAGGAATATTTCCTCTGCTTGTAACTGAGAAACAGATAATTCCAGATCATGTAAAATATTTTTGCTTTCTTCTGGAAAAAATCTCAGCCTGTGTATTGGACCAGGACATCATATAACATATGTTGCCACGCACCGCTTGTGAGGGAGGGGGCTGCTCAGTTCTGCTCTTCGTGTACTTTCAGACTCATCTGCAGAGACGAAGCAAGTACATCTTTGTGTTCAGTTCTGGCAGCTCCTGGAGTCATACACCCAATGAGCCACAAAACTGCTTAGACCAAAGAATTTCTGAGCTATTGCCCACAAATACTAATACCTGGAATGTGTGGGTGATTTGTTAATATATCTTTATTGCTTCAGAAACCTAAATAACAATAAATAACAATTGTCTTTCTGAATCCATCTTCTCCTAAGAGCTAGCACTAGTTTTCAAGTGTAATTGTGTACAGCAGTTAATTAATAGCATCTTTCCAATCAGATTATAATGGCAAACAAAACATTGCTTGGTTTGTTTTTGTTTTGATGATAATGTTTTACAAAGTGAAAGGCAAAATGTCAGGAGTGATTAGACAAATGGTGGAATAGACTGTAATAGAATTAATTCATACCTCCTACTAGCAATATTGGAACGTCTCACTTCTAAAGGTACTTACATAATTGTCTTTAGTGAAAGCATTTTAGAAGGGTCCCATGATACAGTTTGATGGAAAATTTTAAGTGAATGTTGTGATAAGACAGAACTTTTGAGGGGCATACCCTGCCATCAGAAATATATACCTGCCAACAAGTTCCTCTTAAGGTAAATCTTTGGAGCGTCAGAGAGATGTAAAGCGGTACAAGGGAGATAAAAACCAGGCTCTGATCTTTCTGCACCAAAATACCTCTTGCAGAACCACAAAGATGTGGCACTGAGGGCCATAGTCGGTGGGCATGGAGGGGGTAGGTATTACAATATGATATATACTACACTATATACTATATACTACTATACTACTATATATATATGTATACACTAAGAAAGGTATGTATACACACAGAAAGGATTAGGTTCAGGCTTTTAAGTGAAAACAGTCACTAGGAGGTTCACAGCACAAAGAAAGAAAATGTGGCCTTCCCCAGCCAAAAAAAAAAAAAAAAAAAAAGAAAAGGCTCCCAAACCAGGTCATTTAAATTATTTAGTGTTACTCAAGCTGCACGGTGCAAGGGTGTACTGACTTGTAATGAGTGGATTTCTGGCTGGTGGCCAAGTCCTTGCTTTGGCAGTACCTCGCACTTGAATTATTTTTCTTCCTAAATTTGTAGATGAGATTGTTGGAACGGAGTGGGTTTGAGTGGTGTTTGGAATCAAGCCTCAGAATGTTTCTTGTGCTGCAGCAGCACATGAAGCAATTCAGAAGCAATTCAGGCTTCTTTCTTACACGTGCCCTAGTCCTGGCTGGGGGAAACCACCTTGGGAGATGGCACAGAGTGACCTCACTGGCTCACCTGTGTTGGTGTGGCACTGCTACACCCAGTGCTTTGATAGCATTGTGATTTTATTATGATGTGTGTGTGCCACGTACGGTCACAGGTGGGCTCTGCAAGGGGCTTTTGGTTGCCATTCTCTGTTCTGTAGTTCCTTTCAAATGATGAGTCGTGTCATCCAGGCACCGTAACATAATTACCTGTGCCAAAGCTCTTTATTATCAAATGCCTTTGTGGTTCTGTGTGTTTGCACACTGGGTGGACACTTCAGTGCAGAGAGACATAGATGTTCTGCAGCTGACCACATTATCACTCAAACACAGAGCAGAGATCAGGAATTTATCACCACCAGAGTTGAAAAATCCTGCTTTCTAATAATGCAGTTGACTGATTGTTGGTTGATGCACTATAGGACTACTTCTTCTGTCACTAGATATGCAAATGTGTTTAATTTAATCCACTGCTTCTCAGTACTAATTTTAACAGGCTCCCTTTCAGTGTTAAATATGCAGATTTGTTTTCATACCTGAATATTATACAAAATGCTTTACCACCACTGCGCCTTAAGACTCAGAGCAGGCATGCCTTAACACAACATTTCTGGTGATACAATTGTAGAACGTTAGAAGGTACGTTAATGTAAGCAGTAACTTTAAAGTTAAACTCTTCCCCATCAAGTTAAGGGTTATGGACACTTAAGCAAGTAGATTACAAGTACAAGTGCAGCTGTGGTGTAGGTGGTTTTCTGCTTGACCACAGCTTTGGCCACTCATTAAGCTGATGAAGTTCCATCTTTAGCTGCACATGTTTGTTCTGTGAATTTTCAGGGTAGGAGGCAGCTTAGAAAAAAAGGTAAGTACTGCTAAACTTTTTTATTTTTATTTCCTAAATAGGAAATATTTTCAATTCTACTAAAAAAGAAAACTAATGAAAGTGACTTCTCTACACTTCATTCTCCACTCTCTTGACTGCTCATCTCTCAGACCTCTTTACTGCTACAGTCTTTCAACCTGACCAACAAGACAGTGTGAATACTTAGCAGAATAAAATTTGCTTTCATGCTTATAGGAAAGGGAAATTTGGAGCTGTAAGTGATTTATCATTTTTTTTTCATTCCAAGGTCCCTTTTTCTTGTACTAGTCACATAAAGCTAGAATTAGCATGTAGTCTGGACCTCAGTCTTAGAATACTGATAGTATTAATGGAAACGTGACTGAATAAGTTACCTAACTTGTAGCAGAAGTTTTTTCGTTTGTTTTATGAACTCATTTAAATTTTTACCCTCTTCGGCACCAAAGGATTTGTATCTCTACCATTTGAAAGAATGACCTCAGACTGCTCCTGATCACACAGTCCTTTCTGCTTAGAGCCTCAGCAGTCTCTGAAAATGCACGATTCTCGAACCAACAAATATTCAGACATCACTGGAAAGTATTTAGGGACATGTAGGATGATTTAAATCACAAATATTGGCTGCCCTACTATGTGCCTGCAAAGTTCAGAGGCGTAAAGATGAAGGCTTTTGTTGTCTAAGTATTGCTCAGTGAGAAAGTTCAAAGCAATCTGTCTTCCTGAGTTAAAGCATTACAGAAATGTAAGCTGTATGGGATTACAGTATACACATATTTTCGACAGTCCAGAAAAGAGAAATTATCCCTGATGACCTTTTCACCTGTTTAGCCACTGCGTTTGCTATCAGTGTATGTGAAATTGACAAATGATATGGCAGTGCCTGAAAATTGTCTCTTGTATCTGTGACAAAGAAAACTTGTCCAGTGTAAGTAATACTATTTCAAATAAATTGAAAGTATGCCATCTCTTTCTAGCAAGTTCATCCACTTTGGGAGTAGCAATGAGAAATGTCAATCTCCTATGTTCTATAATTATGCCCTAGATGTTATAAAATTAAAGAGATTAGCTTTAGAAAAGTATGGGATTTGAAAATATGCTCTTTTTTTTTTTTTTTCCAGTGGTCCAGGGGGTTCAGTTGGAGCTGTAAGTGATTTATCATTTTTTTTTCATTCCAAGGTCCCTTTTTCTTGTACTAGTCACATAAAGCTAGAATTAGCATGTAGTCTGGACCTCAGTCTTAGAATACTGATAGTATTAATGGAAACGTGACTGAAATTGTATCGTTACTCTTGCAAAGTCTCCAGTCTGCCCTGGTCTAGAAGACATTTGAAGGAAGGGAGGGCCAGGTAACTAAAATTTCTGCAGTGAGAGGATAGGCTGGGAAAATACGCTGGAAAACTTGTCTTGCATGTCTGCAGTGTAGGCTGCAGGGAGCGCTGGGCTTCATGAGCATATTTCAGGTTGGATTTTAGGAACAAAGAGTGGTGAGGCACTGGCATAGACTGCCAGGGAGGTGGTGGAGTCAGCGTCCCTGGAAGCGTTGAAGAAATGTGGAGATGTGACACTGAGGGACATGGCCAGTGGTACAGTGGGGGTGGGTTTGGGTTGGACTTGGGGATCTTAGAGGTCTTTTTCAGCCCTAATAATTCTATGGCCTTAGAGAGGGTTAGAGCAGGAGCCTGGCTGCCCTCTGAGGAAGGCAGTGCTTGGGCAACTCCAGGCCCGTTCCATCAGTGCTCTGTGGCAGCCCAAACTGAATGTGTTCTGAGCCCTCATCAAAATAATGGGCTGCAGATACCTATCTTTCATTACGAGAGTTTAAGAACTATGGGGAGGCAGCAGAAGCTGGAGAAAGGTCTGTGTTCAGAAAAGAGTCAAACATGGTGTTTGTGCTGACCTGCTTTACGAGTTTTTGCTCTGAATTTGTGTTTAAATGAGACCAACTCTTGTGTTTAAGTAGGAACAGAAATCAATGAGGGAAGCCAAACACAAAAGAATGTATCTTTAGCAATTTTAGTTCGTAATGAGAGTACCATAATGCAGCAGCAAGGTCAAATTCAGAGAGCTGGCTTTAATATAGAAGAACGAGTCTAGCACCGTGCCAGCAAGTTCTAGTGTGGCTGAACTGTGCACCATGGCATATCATAAATGTGCATGCAGAAACATTTTCCTCTCAGAAAATATGTGCTATGCAAAAAGTACCTTTCAACAAATGCAGTCAAAGTGAAATAAACCAATTGGCAAAGCACTAACTTTAAAAAAAAAAGAAAAAGAAAAAGAAAAAAAGCCAAAAATGTGTGAATGGCTTCCGTAATGATCAGGTCTTAATTTGAAAGAGGTAAATGATTTGTGATGGCTTAAAAATATTAAGTGTTAGGAGCTTGAGTAGTGAAACTGTTCAGATAGTTCAGAGGAAAAGAATTGCAGAGTAGTATAGCAAAAAAAAAAAAAAATCTTGGTTAATGGAATTTCATCTGTACTTGGGGTAATGCTCAGCAACAGAGGCAAAAGAAATCATACCAACATTTGCAAATGGAGAGACGAAATGGAAAATAAAGCATTATGTCAAAGAGAGCAGTAACTCCAGAATGAGATTTCTGCATTTTTTATGACCTGAGAATACTGCCGATAGCAAAAATAACTGGTTTATTAAGCTCAGGCTATTGCCAGATGCAAAGAAGAGGCAACAGTTCACAAACTGGAAAGCCATTATCAAATATGTAATGTAACATCACTGAATATTTTAGGTTACAAGCATTCTTTTGGCTTGTTGAATGAGAGAAAAGTGGAGCTGAAGTCAAGCAAATCCAACTAATATTCCTTAGTGTTGGATACCTGGGCACTGAGCAGCTGAAATTAGAAGACGAGTGTGCAAGAGAAACACATGGACTGAAGAACCAGGTGATATCAACACAGGCAATGATGCTTTTAGTGAAGATAAATGAATTCATGAAGCTGGTGACACTAAGTATACAAGTGATTTATAGGAAAAACTCCTAAGCAGTGCAAACACGAAAAGGAGTCCAAAGGAGACAGTGCCCTAACAGATAGGTGCCCTTTGAGCTGCCTCACTGTGCAGTGGGAGCAGGGGGCTGGGGTGAGCTGTTGTTGTGTGTTAATGTAGATGTGTGGACAGGAGTTTGTTACAGCCTGCAGCTGGCAGCACGGCTGGAGTTGGGAAGGTGGAGAGTTGGAGCAGATGGCCCTTCAGGATCTCTTCTGACTCGGAGAATTCTATAATAAATATTTTCTGATTAGAGTGAACCTCCACAAGGAGTGGCAAGTTACTTCTTCTTTCTGAAATTTCTTTCTAGTTGAACCATTTCATTTAATTAAGTGGTAGGGCAGTTAGAAACCTTTTGACGCAGCATTGTCTTGACTTTTTAAAATAATTGTTTGATCGCACGGCAGTGATGACTTTGTTGCAACAGCCTGCTTTGGAGGGATAGAAGCAGGTGGCTTACAACTGTACTGAATAAGAACTGCTGATTGATTTGCTATCCTCTAACAACATCAATGTTGAATGACTATGTACTGTACTGCTTGCTACAAAGTAAATTTTTATGACCCGCTTTCTTGCAAATTGGCCACTGACAGGGAAAGTAGAATACGTGGCTGTCTTGGGTCTCGAAGCAGTGAACAGATTGCACTGAGAAGACATGGGGGAAGCAGTGCACAACACTTGCTGATATTTATAACTTCTGCCTCTGTCAAGGAACTCCAAATCGTAGTTCACGGTTCTGCTAGAACCAGACGTAGTCACGGCCCTGGTTTGGTTTTTTTTCTTTTTCATACTTGCTTTCTATACATACGGTTATAGTTTAGAAAAAATATTAAGTTCTATTTTAATGGAACTTGAGAGGACAGTCATAGAGTTTTTAGCAGCCGTGAGCACACAGTGATGTGTTGGGTTCAATAATATTTCCTGCTCAATTTACTCTCTTGGTTTAAAAAAAAAAAAGAGTCTAGAAGGCTCAAAACACAGGAACTGGAGGAACTGGAGTGACATTATAATTCAAGGTGACTGGGTGGCACGCATAAATAAACAGGCAGTAAATATTTTGCCTCTTGTATTCTGGTAGCTTTTATTGGCTGCTCCGTTCAGACTGGAGGAGGGGATACAGACCATCAGCTCGTGCTCAATTCCAGTTCTGTTCTTCTAACAGCCTTACAGCAAGTCAGCAACATGCACTGCCCTGAGTTACACACCCAAACCCTGTGCGGACATGGGATGCAAGTAGGTTTTTCACACCAGTTTAATTCACATTTTGATTATTGTCCCTTTCCGGATGCTAAACCAGCCTGTTTACCTGGCCTGCCACTCTTTCGCAGCGTGAAGCATGGTGTAATCCCAGTGCTGCCCTGTGGCCTGTCAAGTAGTGGTGACTCAGGGAGCCAGAGAATGGGGTCTGTGAGCACCTCTGTCTTTTTCCCCATGCTGCAGACGCAGCCCCAGAGGCTAACAGCTTGTTCTTCCTGCTGCAGGCATTGCCGAGGGGTAAGATGGCACAGACTAAATATACTGATGAGAAGAGAAAAAAGTGCATTTGCAAAAGAAGAAAGATGTGTCTTTTCCTGAGAATTGCCTAGGATGAGGACCCAGGGCCTTTTGATCTTGCTGTATGGTTTCTTCTCTGTCTTTTTCTGTACAGTGTTTTTATTTACAGCTTGCTTGGGAAGGCACTGTAACCTGGCTTCTTTTCACGTACCGAAGCGAGCACATACAAATCATTAGAGCATAATATACTTACTGATTAGGTAATAACATGGCAAGGCAAATAAAAGATTTTATGACAAATTTAAATAGCAGTGGAATAAAGTTCAGGGGACTGGGGATTAAGAAAAGGGATTTCATCTGTTTGAGGTAGATAGTGGCCATTAAACTGTCCCCTGGGAGATTTGCTCAGCCTTGAATAATAGGAGCGTGTTTGTGTGCACATGAATTGCCATACCTTGTTTGTCTTAATCGTATGTGGTCTCAAGCAGTTGCTAAATTGTGCCTCCCTCCCGTGCCTGCCTCCCACCCCTTCATTCCACTGGTTTATTTGCTTTGTTTATGGGCTTATAAGTGGGAAATATAACTTAATTGACAGAGTATGCTATATTTAACATAGCAACATACTGAAACACAATCATACAGGGAAAAACAATGAGAACCAACTCATCAGTAATTGCTGTCAGCCACATCCATTCTTTTTTCCATTCTTTGTGTTTCCTACAGTGACTACGGTATATGGAGGTGAAGGGAAAACTGCTCCATAATAAACACTGCACAAATGCTTTGTACGTAACACCGTGTCTCCCCATTTCTGTAAATTAGAAGCATTAAGGTTCATACATCTGGTTGTGCTCATTAGAATGCTGCAGAAAAAAAACTCTGCTACTGGAACCACACTGATAATTCCCAATGCAATTAAAAAAAAAAAAAAAAAAAAAAAAAAAGTGTTGCTTCATTCCTTGAGTGCATCTTTTTTAAGCCATGCAATTTTTTGAAAGTGCACTGAGATTTATTTTGAAGCACATCTTGACTTTTAATAAATTTATTAAAGTGCTTTAAACCATGTCATAGCTAATTTTGCTCTCCCACAGATCCATCACTTTGTGTTACTTATAACTAACCTTTTTCCATATGAGAGAGGAAATAGATCAAATCTCACAATGGTATGTTTTCCTTTTAATTTTCCAGGTAGTCCATGTTCAAGAAAAAAAATAAAATAAAATACTCAGAAGCATCTTTTAGTATGTCAGCCCTAGAGGTGGAGTGCACAGAAATGTGTTCCTTTGTGACAGCCTGAGTAAGTGGGGTTGGATTTGGGGATCTTAGAGGTCTTACCAACCTTAACGATTCTATGAAGTGGAGGTGTAACAAGTACAAGGTGAAACAGCTTGCTGTGCACAATGTCAACATATGCAACCCATTTCATGTAGCTGGCAGATACCTGTGTTGAAGAGCTTCAGGACTGAAACATCATTTCTGAGATCAAATATGGGGTTTGTTTGCATTATCAGCCTCTTGTATTACTCCTGTTGCCTGGGGGCTCCCCAGTGCTGTTTTTGTAACAAGAGAAATACCTGTAGTTCCAGCTGAAATTCTTGGGCCTTTAATGGCACTCAGCTAATGCTTGGCAGGCCTGGTATGATTATAACCATCATCCTGTTGTTAATCCTCTCTAGTGCCAAGGATTGTTAGGCAGGGACTGCAAACAAGATGAAAAAATGGAATGCGTGTATGTTATGGACTGAAGAACAGAAAGTCCAGTTGCCTTAATTTTGATGCGTTTGGGTTTTTTTCCCCTTTATAGTAAATACTAGTTTATCAATAAAAGTATTATTTGAAACAAACAAACAAACAAAACAACAAAAAAGCCCCTTTCTAAGTAAGTAATTTTTTTCACTTAAACCTTGAGAAAAGTCACTGCAAAATGGCAGTGTGAGCGGTTTGTTGCCTGTTGCTACAGTACTGAGCTGGACTTGCAGAATTGTGTAGAGGTTTCAGAAATAATCTCAGACAGTTTATTTCCCTCTATGTATATCTGCATCTCCAAGGCACGTCTATGCACTGTTGCATAGTTCAAAAAGGGGGAGAAATGCTTTATTTCATGGGAAGGAGTGAGGCGGTGATTGGGAGCTGTCATTTGGGGGCTGCCTCCTTTTCCAGTCCAGGCCAAACAGACACTGAATTTCTCAGCTGCAGCTGCTGGAGGCACAGTTTGCAGCTGTCTCTGCACTATGATAGGCAAATGATGGGGATTTCAGGAATGTGTTGCTTCTGCATAATGCTTTTCCTGATGGAAAGCCTCTGGAAGCTCTGTTCCAATGGACAGGAGCGTGCACCGCACAAGGGAGGTTAAAATGGCAGAGAGATTTGCCTCCAGGAGGCTGGTGCCCTGGTGCTGGGGCACTCAGGGAGGAGCTCTCCTGTAGCAGTGGGTTGTGACCCACAGCGAGGAAGCTGCTGCAGCAGGCACTGATCCTCTGGCAGCACTTCAGTGTCGTCTCATCGATAAGATGGCGGTTTGCACATGTCAGGCAGACAGCAGCTTAATGGGAGATATCTTATGACAGGAAGCTTTAAAAGTTTTTCCATTATCCTGGAGTTATACAATTATGATGTTCTGTGGCATGCAGCTGGCTACAGCTGTGATGGCTGTAATGCAATCTTTCTTCAACTTACCAATAAAATGTGGCAGAAACTGGTATTTCTGGGGCTCTGTGCACATCAGGGATTGCAAGTGCTTTCTGTCCTAAATGGGAAGGCAAAAAAATGTCTTTTGTGAACTATAGCACCATTTTTCACTGTTAGTTTCTAAATCTAATAACTGCAACTTAGGCTTGCTGATAGCAAAAAAAGAAGAAAAAAAAAAAAAAGGCCATGCTTTGTGCAACATGATTACTAATTTATTTAAAAACTAAAATCAAGGCTGCCTGTGGTTTGGGTCTGATTTCACATTTATTTTTCATAGTTTGTTTGCTTAGTAGCTCTGCAGTGAAACAGTGATTAGTTAAATCAGTTATACATAAATTCAAAGACTTGTTCTTCATTTTAGATGTTCAGACTTAATTGGATTTAAATCAGATTAAAAAGTGACTTCTGAGTGAAAAATACCCCCAAGCATGAAAGATGGCTTTTTTTTTTTTTTAACTTATCACTTAAATGGCAGTAGAGATTTCTATCTTTATAACATTTATTCCCTCTTACAGCTAACAATTTTATTCAACATTCTGAGAAAATACTGTATATATTAAAATGTTAGCAGTGCTGATTAGCAGGAAGCCACCAACTTATCTCCCTCAGAATGAACTGTTTCCTAGTCCAGAGTATTTTCTTCAGATTGTAATGAATTTTTAAAGTTCAATGTTATGAAAGGAGGTCATCCTACACATCTATTAGAATATATTAATGGCTGTGAAATCGTATAACACAAGCTGTATTAAAACCATGAAAGGGAACTGCTCCTGTCACGAGATGCCCCAGCAGATGAGCAGTCTCAGGGTTAAGATGGGAGTTTCTCCATTGCATTGTAAGAGACATCAGGGGTTTGTTATGGGCTTGGGCCATGTATATTGACATGAATTACTGGATAATGAAATACAAGGTTAGAAAAGTTTGGATGAAGATGGCGTAGTTTTCAGTGCTGCAGAAGTGACCATAGTTTGGGATTTCCCAAAATGACATCTATGAACCCCAGCAGAAGATCCTTGCAGAGAAGTAGGGTGTGACTCTGTGCTGTTAGGGTACAGCAGTGTCGTGAGGTAGTGGCTCTATGCTGCCAGGCCTTTTGCCTAGCAGAAGTGACCCAGAGTGTTTGGATGTTTGGACAGAGAGGTGAACTGCAGGATGAGCAGTCTGTGGCTTCCCAGACTCCTTGTGATACAGAAGATGAAGAAGACAATGCAAAATCAGGTGCTTAAGTGTATGTGAGGCAAACGGGGTAGATTGTGGAGAACAGATTTTGGAGGAGCGAGCAGAGATTTGTATTCAGGCAGTTTCAAATCTGGCTGATCAAAGACTGAGCAATTCGAGACTTGTTCTCTAGTGGCTTGACAGAGTTGCTACCACAAAGATCAGAAAGGCAGAAGCAGTAATGACCTCTGACTCCAAGTGTCCATGTTCATCAATTATTTAAACAAGGAAGATTAATGTGAAAATAAATAATTGCATTTTGAATTGCTTCTTTACATCAGTAACAAAGTAGGTGTACCAGATACAAACCGATAAAGAGAAAAGATAAGAAACCATAATGCACAAAAAGAGAAGTAGTGTAAACTATAAAGCTCATTGCCACTTTACAGTGAGGGTTGTTGTCTGTGACCTAGAATAGAGAGCTGTAAGAGCAGAACATGAAACCTCTTGTTTGATGCTGGCACATTAAAAATTTGGGGCTGAATTCTACTATATTCCATAATCCAGTACTTCTTTGGTCTAAAATAATTTTCACAAAGTCAGGATGTTGTCTTTTAGTAAGTATGTGTACCCAGAAATATCATGAATACATGAAGACATGGTATTTCAGCTTGATATCTTTTTGTTTTTGGTTTTAGACCATTTCTATCAACTACATTTCAGTCTGAAAGTAAGCCAAACTGCTGTCAATTGCTTTAATTGCATCACTAATTTAAATGTGCTGGGAGAAGGGCATGGTATGCATTAGTGTTCCAGCTGAAATGCAGTAACCCAAATCTTTAGCTTCTTTTGCCCGTGGTACATTTACGATGCTTCTGTCCAGAAAAAAATAAAACATTTTGGAAGCACAAAGCATGTATCCAACCTGTATGCACAGAAATCTGTGAGTAAATGAAATGGTGTCATTATTTATTTACATAACATAATGTTGGTGTTACCTTTAAGATTTTTGAATGCTAAGTGTTGAGAAAACAGTGAATGGAAGTTAGAGGTGGCGTTGACTTAAAGACATTGAGAGCCTGCAGTATTTTTGGTAGGTGCAAATGCTTTTTCAAATTCCATTACTTTTAACTTATTTGTGGATCTTTTCAAAGGCTTTTGTGTGCCAGATAGCTTCCAAAGGCATACTGTGCCCTACATCTGTGAATAGAAAGCTCTGAAGAACTGGTAAGCATTGCTATGACAAAATAACTTACATAATCAGTACATGGCTGGAGTTGTAATGTGTAGTCTGCTATTCTTCACTGAGTATATCATCTTAGCACCCAAAGCAGATGCCACACAAAAAGTCGTGGTTGTGATGCACGTAGTTATTTATCTCACTTGGTCAAAATGTCTCAGTTACAAAGCTATCAGTAGGAGATATTAATAAATACATATGGTGTTTGGCTAGATGAGTACAAGATTATGCTAAGTAGAACACATTCCAGAAAAGAATGATTGTAACTAATTAGAGATCTCCAGTTAAGCTTAGAGTTGTAAGAAAGTAAAATCAAATTTAATTATGCAAGGTCTCAGTTGTGCCAAAGGTGCTATAAAAAATATCTTTATGGAAACAGTATAAGAAATGGACTGGTGCTATTATTAGCATGCTCAGTTGTGCACTTACTTTATATTAGTTTTAAGTTTAATGAGTGTAGAGCAAATTACAAAGAATGCACAGCAGTCATTGGGGTATCCATACAGAATGCATCTGTCTTTGCACTGATTGATAACTCCAAAGTGAGCTTTGTCTAAATTCTTTACATTAAGTGTATGTACACACAGGTAAATGAAAATGTCAATATCAGTATTCCCTTGCAAGCCTAAGCACTGAGTGCTGTTCCTCTGCTCCTGAGTGCTGGCAAAGAGCTGCTGGCAAGCACCAGCACATCCTCAGCTCAGCAGCGCTGTGGGTATCCCAGTCTGGGACAGTGTGGTCTCCCATGAGGAAAGCAGGTCTTACATAATGCTACTTTCCAGCATAGTCATGGGGGAGAAGTGACTGTGAGAAATACCCTGGGATGCTGGAAAAGGGTTCGATGAAAAACTGTTGTTCTTGGAATTGACGCAGAAGTCAGATATGGTTTCTGCTTAGGGCTGTGCTGCCCAAACTATTTTCCCATCCTCTCCAGACTGCTTAACCGCAAATAATTAATTCCCCCCAATGCCAGCCTCTGGGGGGATGCTAGCAATGTGGGTAAATGAAACCTGTAAGGCCATCAGTCTTCCCACTGATATTGTTGAGTCCTGTGAGTGGAAGCCTTTTCTTCACAGTTATAAGAGCTTTTCTTTCAAAGAGCCCTATGTGGTTCTCAGCCCCAGAGATGGCTATTTCCTGTCAGTAACAATCTCCCTGGGCAGTTTTGCCTTTCAGCCCTCCTGGCCGAGCACAGGGGGACCTTCTCTCTCCTTCCCCATTTGTGATGGAGATCAGACAATCCCAAAACATCCATCCCAAAGCTCCACTCCTCTCCGCTGCTTGTACTAAGTGAGGAAAATAGAGTAGAGCACAGCACAGGCATTTCTCCCAGCTGATCCTCAAGCTATGCTGGAAAAGGAGAGATGGGTCAGCTGGATCAAGGATTCATTCCTTAGTCTCAGGGTCACTGCCAGAAACCTAAAGAGGGATTCACTCCTTGGCACCTCAGAAATTTATGATGGATGTACATCTACAGCTGCACCAAGAGCTCTAGGGCTCCCTTATTAGTTAAGGGAGAGGACTGGGTATTTTTAAGCATGACTCACCTGGCCTATTTTAGTGTGTGATGAATGGTACTATGTCCATTAAGTTTAAAGAGAGGTTAATCCAAGTAGCTCAGATGTGAACCTGTTAGTTGATTTTTTTCAGATGAATTCTACCCCTGGCTGCCAAGGTCTTTAAAACATCAGCTGACTTCTGAGGCTAAAGCTGACACAAACAGAAGGAGAGGCAGTGCACAAAGTTGTTTGCTTTGCTATTTTCAGATAACAGCGGCTCTTCAGGTGTGATTTTTCGCTGCCAAACACTTGAGCTGGTTGTGGTCATTTTGTACTATCACAGGTATTGCTTTTCCCAGTCTTAAGAGCATTGCAGTCTCTGTGTGTATGACCTCCATCAGTGAGAAAAAGAGGACCTGTAGTTGCTTTCTCTCTATAACATCTGCTCTCCTGTTGAAAAATCCTTCCCTCTCCTGTTCTCTCCCTGCCCTCCTTTTCCTCATGGCCCTCTGCCTTGACCCCTCAGGATGTAGCTGAACCTGACAGTTTTCTTCAGCTCCTCAGAAGCTGCCCATCTTTCTTACCTTTTGCTGAATGGTAGCAAGAGTAACAGGAGCCATAGGAAGTCACCAGTGGTCATTCACACACCAGGCCCACTCCAGGACCAGAAGTAGGCAGTGAAGCATGTCCTAAGGAATGAAGTCTGGAAATGATGAAACACTGGCGTGTCCTGTATGTCACCATCTTGTCATAGATGGTGCAGTCTCTCTACTGACACAAACAGGGGCATCCTTCATCCCACCTTTTAAAGCTGATCTTAGTAATGTTTTCCATGTGTCAGTTGGCATTCTCAGAGTGAAATGACCCTTGAGGTAGCTTCTTTAGAGACTGGGGAATGAAGTGTTATTGATAAATTCAGGTCTCTATAGAAGAAGAATTTAAATTTTCATTTCCAAGCCTTGCTTGTAATCTGAATGTTGGTGCATCTCTTCCCTTGGAGGATTTAGCTTTGTCTTTTCTCACGTCATATAGTTGCCAGTGGCTTAACACCCTATTTGTTATTTCTCTGATCTCATTTTTGGCCTTTACGTCCATACCAGCTAATGATTGTATAATATGAGCTCTGAGAGCTCTCATCCCTAACCTCATTTTTATTAAATCCAATTCTTGCTCTAAACTGCCATATCCACGTACTTACACATGATTTTCTGTTTGCTATTACCCCAGCTAACACAATGAATCCTACTTTGCTTGGCTCTCTGTTTTCAGTTTGTTATTCCAAGCTAGCTGAATAACTTGGCCTGGCAGACTCTTTAAAGGCTGGGATCAGCCTTTTGATGAGTTGCAGAGTTCTTGAATAAAGGACAAGAATTAATCAGGATAAAAGGGATTTCTTTTCTACAGAAGTGTAGGTGTCCAAGGACCTGTAGAATGCAGAAAATTCATCTTCTACAGCTGATACTTTGTAAGTAAGAGCACAGCAGTGATGCAGCTCCCAGCAGGCAGTCTCTCTTCCCCTTGGAACATTCTACAACAGGCAGTTTCTTGCTATCACCTGAGATTTTCTAGAACCTTCCTGTTCTAGTGCAAGATTAGATCTCTGGTGAGACCTCATTGTGGTCTTCCAGTACTTGAAGGGAGAGCTTATAAGCAGGAAGGTGAATGACTTTTCACATGGTCTAATAGTGATAGGACAAGGGAGAATGGCTTTCTACTCAAAGGGGAAATTTAGATGGTTGGGGGGAAATACTTTACTTAGAGGCTTTGGCATTGCTGCCCAGAGAACTGTGGATGCTCCAGCCCTGAAGATGCCCAAGGCCAGGCTGGATGAGGCCATGGGCAGCCTGAGCTGGTGGAGGACAATCAGCTCATGGCAGGGTGGTTCAAGCTCAATGATCTTTAAGGTCCCCTCCAACCTAAGTCATACTATGATTCCATGATCCCATAAGACATCTGTTAGCTCTGCATACTGTGTTCATGTCTCAGATCCCCATTTCCTAATAATCTTCCTTTTAAGAAGATGAGAAGAGCACACATGGTAGGTTCTAGCTCTGTCAGTTACTGCAAATCTGAAATGACCAGATACTCGAAGACCTTCTGTAAGATAGCATGAAATATATAACATAAAAATCACTCAGTAATATATTGTCCTACAATTCTTTTTCCTTCTGCTTCTCTCATTGCTAATGAAACAGCTGCTCTTTGGTTTCAGGCTTTAACCTGTTTTTAGATTCCTTTTATGCTGTTGGCCCACTGAAATGCATGAACGGCTGTTGAAAAAAAGCTACATCTGTGAGGCAAGAGGAGGGCCTCTAGGTGAAGTAATGTCTAGTAATAAGAGTCTGAATCTGACCTATTCATTTCCTCACTTACTTTGTTTTTGTAAAGTGACTCTGTTCCCTTGGACACAAGGTTTCACACCTTTTCTGCCTTCATTTTAGCATTACCGTGATACCAGTTGTAATGCTGTAATGGGATGGAAAGCACCACTATAATAGCAGGGTGGCAAAGTCTTTGGTTGCAGCAAATGAGGATGAGCCCAAATGCAGTAGCTGTGGACACAGAAATGAAGGAAAAGAGCTGCTTACTTTTGGAAGGCCTGAGGTAGGCAGCGATCTCCAGTGAGATGCCCTCACCTCCACTGCCAACCCTTAAATAAGGTCTGGGAAAGGAATGCCCCTGAGCTCCCCTGCGTTGGCCCTGCCTTCCCACCAGGCACTCAATCACTAGTTCAGGCTGTGAGTTAGCATTTCTGCTACACTCCACCCCTTCATAGCGTGAGTCAATGATGCTTTGTAGAATTTTGCCCGTCTCGGTGTAGATTGAGAAAATATAAGACGATTGATGATTGGTTCTTAGTTGAGATTCATGTTCCTTTGTGGGCCAGTACTCAGTGGCTCTCCTGAAGGCACATAGCTGCTTGGACAAGAGAAGGTTCAGCTTGCATTCCATCAGTCCCACATACTTCACCATTTGGTGCCACGCTGATCTTATAGTGACACTGGAGCATCTCCATGTCATGTTGCTCCTCTCAGCGATCCTGTGGACTCAAAGAGAATCACAGGGTGTGCTATATATGTTTCAGAGGTACCAGAAGAGGTAGGTCTGCCTTTCATGGCAAGATACAGGCCGTGTTCCTGTCCTGGATCAACACTTCAGCTTGCACTAGGGCATGTCTTAGCTGACAGTACAGGGCTTTCTCTTGTAAATGATCAATTAATGAATCTACTGCCCTTCCTCATGCCTCCAGCGAGTCAGATGTCAACATGAGATCATCACTATAGTGGTACAGTTTGATGTTACTAGGATTATTCCACTCTGCTAGGTCACACACAACTAAGTTATGACAGTAGGTTGGTGAATGCACGTATCCTTGAGGCAGGACCTGGAAGGTCCACTGCCTGCCTCCCCACGTAAATACAAACTGGTCTTGCAATTCTTCATGGATGAGAATACTGAGGAATGCATTTGCCAAGTCTAGGACACAGTGGTAGGTTTCTATCTCCCTAATCAATGTGTCCATCAGGGAGGCCATATTGGGTACAGCTGCATGAATGGGCAGCATGACCTTATTTAATTCTCTGTAATCCACTGTCATTCTCCATGTGCTGTCTGACTTCCCAGATGGCCATATGAGAGAACTATATGGGCTGTGTGCAGGTCAAAAAAGCTTTCAAAAACTCATTTTCATCTTTGAATTCTTCCTCTGAGGAATGATATGCGTTAATAGTGAGAAGCAGTTTACTACAAGAGTTCCATCTTTTGGTGTAGTTGGGCTCCTAGTGACCATCCAACACATTATTTATTTATTTATTTTTAAGTAATCCATTGTAAATAAATATCTGTCTGGACTGTCTAGCATAACGCTGTAATGGGATGGAAAGTACTGTGATAATAGCAGGGTGGCAAAGCCTTTGCCTGCAGCAAATGAGGATCAGCCCAGATGCATTTGCTATGGATGCAGAAATGGAGGAAAAGAGCTGCTTACCTTTGGAGGGCCTCAGGTAGGCAGAGATCTCAAGTGAAATACCTTCATTGCCTCTGCCAATGCTTAAATGATGGAAGGGGTGGATCCTGGCTTCATCCCTTCCTGTCACTCAGGTGCACTGCATATGACTTAGCTCCCCAGGGTTGGCCCTGCCTTCCTACCAGGTGCTCAATCACTGGTTCAGGCTGTATTTCTGCCACACCAACCAAGGTCCTTCATTAGTATGGCACTTGCTGATGGATTCCCCCATTCATAGGGCCTGCAGAGCCAGTGTGGTCTCAGTGCATGGTGCTTCTTTCACTGTAGGAAACATACTGGTCCTAAGAGGAAAAGGGGGTGGAAGAGCTTTTATTTCAAAGAAAGAACCTGACAGAAAGGAGGTGAGCATTAAATGGTGCCAGTAGAAAGCAGGATTTATTTATTGCATGAGCAGTAAGAGCCCATTTTTTCAAGCTGTTAGATTCCAACTGGGGTGTCAGATGTAGCACTCATGCATTAAGGTTTCACATAAAGTGATGTGAGTGGGCAAATAGACTATAATGATCTAAATACTAAACTATCCCTACAATAGGGATTGCCGATAGATAACTAAATCCAGAATCATGGAATCACTGTAGGGAACTCCTTGGTGTACTGTGATCTGACCAATATGACCATAAATTGTTGTGTTTTTTACTGTGATATAAATCATTGCATAACTTCATTAGTTAGATACCACCTACAATTAATCAGTTCTGCATTAAACTACCTTAAGCAGTAGTTCCTTATGGGATTTTCAATTTGTAGGCCCAGCTGTGTCTCAGCTGCCACTAATGAACATGCTGAGGCTAATTGAAGTGGGAAGGATCACACTCAGCCTTATGGTTGCAGTGCTCAGCTGTCTCACTGTCAACAGTGGAGTAATCTCTTTAAAAACCCAAGCCAGACTCGGCATATTTGGCTGACTAAAAATATACATACATATTTCTTGCGTGTGTGTTCTGTCTCCTGAGCTTTAGGCTCCTGAAGAATATTTCGGAACTGACAAAGCTCTTTAATCTTTCCAGACTGACCTTTTTTTCTTATTGCTGCAGTCTGGAAGAGAGAGGACTTTTTGTGTTTGCTCTGCATTCCTACACTGATGCGCATTTTTGCTAGAATCTGAGTCATCTCCAGAATATCAGCTAAATCCTGGCTGAAGACAGGAGATCTCCTTAAAGCAGGGCTTGCTTTTTTTTTTTTTTTTTTTTTTTAATAAATTCAAAGCTAAAGAGTGGATCTAGCAGTAAAGTACATCTCTGAGTGATGACAGAATCTACTACTGCACTTATGTATTGGCTTGGTTACAGATGGGGAAGTTAGCATACAGGACATTATGAGCAGGTTGTAAAATCTTTGATTTCCTGTTGGCTCTGCATAGATTCCTATATTGGTTAAACTGATTAAGTTGAATTTTTCAGAATCCATGTATGCAGCACTACACAGATTGCAACTAACAACTGCCAAGATTTCTCCTGTCAATATAAAACAATGAAACCTGAGTATGTGAGTGTATATACCTGTCATGCCTACTTGCATAGCAGAATATGCAGTCTAGACAGCCATAATTTATTGACTAAAGCAAAGACTTGCACTTGGGTTACAGCAATTCCCACTATCAGTACAAGTTAGGGAATGAAAGGATGTAGCTCGGCCTTGCCAAAGGACCTGGGGGTATTGGTGGATGGCATCTGGCCATGAACCAGCAATGTGCCCTTGCAACCCAGAAAGCCAACTGTATCCTGAGCTGCATCAAACAAAGCCCATCTGGAGACTTCACCAACCTTCCAGAAAGGGTAAGCCTCTTGTCCCTGAATGCTCTTCTAAACTAAATCTTGATGAACACCTTTACACACACGTTTATATCATGGTAGAAGGCAATATTATCGCCTTCACTTACTTCACACTGTTCTTCTTTTCCTGCTCTCAGCATTTTAAAAAAACTGTTGGCCATTAGCTTTCATCCCACAATGAAGCTGAGAATATACAGCACTGAAACAGTGTTGGCTTGGTGGAATGTAATAAAGCTGGTCGATGGGAGCAGCTGTGGAGCTGGTGATGGTCTAATTATTTTCTTTATAAAATAAATAACAGTGGAATAAAATAAATTTGTGATTTTACAGTCTTGTGTTTGACACTATCTCCAGCATGAAGTAAGTCTACTTTCTATTACTGCATACCAGTGGGTACAGAGTGGTGTTGGTTTTCTCTGTTATCCTGAGCCCCAGTACAACTGTCTAAGCATTTTAAGTAAGTAGTCAGCGTGTAAGAAAGGAGAATTCAATCCATAAAGCAAAAGTGAGATGGTCACATGAACAGGCAAAAATAAAAAAAGAAAGAAAAACAAAAAAGAACACCTGTAAGAGAAGTAAGAGGCCAAGGAAAGTGTCACTGTTGCTCCTTCTGCATGCTGAGTGCAAGAAGCATGACATGGGGTATGGGTTTGGGGCTCAGTGGACTCAGAACTGCTGACTGGATCCTGGAAGTAGAGAGGGGAGCTGATCAAACTGCCCACTATAGTGAAGTACCACCAAATTCAAGGAAATCAGGAGCTGCAGAGAGGTTTGAAATAATGACAGTGAATGACCTCACATACTAATAGGGAATCTCAAAGGACCTTTAAGCAAGTCCAGAAATTTTTTTTAGCAGAGATCTCAAATGACCTCACTGGCTGTGTTGTGTCCTCGGATGACCCCTGAGTGCTAACTGGTGTCCTCAGATGACCTTTGAGTCCCAACATTTTTGGATGGGTGACCTCAGATAACCTCACTGGCCAAGTCGTAACCTCAGATGACCCCTGAATGCTAATTAGTGTGCTTAGATGGCCTTTGAGTCCAGAAAGTTTTCGAGAAGGGCCCTCAACTGATCCTATGTCAACAGTTTATGGGCCAGTTCAGCCAGGTTCCATGACTAGTGGGGCAGGGTAACCGACGGACCCATGCCCTGGGAAAAGGAAAAGGTGAAAAGTGGAAAGGGTAGGGCAGCAACAATCTGAAGAGAAACAAACTAATTTTGATTCTATGAGTCTATGGATTTTGCTAAATAAGATATCGGAATGCAAGATAACACACTATAATACAATATAACACAATATAATTAGAATTGAAGCCAATAAATAAAATGAGAGAGAGTGTCTGAAAACTGAAGGCCTTATTCTAAGTAATCTGAGGTGATATGGCTGGGAGCAGAGACAAGCCAGAATGTCAAAAAAGGGGTTGTCTTGTCATCTGTGAACAGCTTTTTTCTTTTCCTCTGAGTGGAAAACAGAAACAGAACAGCAAATAGTCCTCTGGGAGAAGTAGTTCTTCTCTTCTGTGACAGGGTAACCCACACATGCTGACTGCTGCCATATTTTTTCCCATATGTGTAATTTCAGAGCTCATTTGCTCAATAAGTTGCCTCACCCTCTCTTTGGGGTTATTTGAAGAAAGGAATTCACCTGATGACCCTTGAGATTGTCCAAGGCCTGTTGTTGCTGAATTATAATACTGTGGCCACTCCTAGATGCTCTCCAGTTCCAGAGTCACTTTAAATGTGTGCGAATGGGACAAAGCATCTTTAAGTTTGTTTTCCACCTTCAGCCTTCACACTCTCCCAGAGTGCAGCTTTCAGACAAGATCTTTTGAGAGAAAAGAAAAAAGGGAGACTGGTGCATACCTTCCCCACCACTATCCTCTATCAAAAGCAGAGTTAGTTAAACAAAAAGTTAAGGTCAGAAATGGAAAACAATATCCAGCCCTTTTTTATCTTATGAGGGACTTATAAGTGGCAGCTTGTTTGGCAAAGAACAGTGCTACCAAGTGGACAAAAGCATTTTCGATTTCCACAATTTTTTTTATGTTGTATAGTCTATGAAGATTTTGCAGAGCATTGACCCCCTAATAACTCCAGTTTCACCCACTCCTGACAGATCTCCCAGACTGCCTGTCTTTCACCATGGCACACATCTCCATGTGTCTTGTAAGGGTTTCCTTGAGTCCATTCAGCTTCTCTCTTGTCAGCATTCACCATTTTAGTTAATAAAAGTAGTTAATTTTCACTTACCTCAAGCCAAGCAGTAAACTATTTATTTGCCTTGCTATTATCATGGTGACACTGCATTGTAGTACAAGACAAATGAGGTTGCAGGTTAATCCCCTGCCTGGGAGAAAATTCCATCACACCCAGGGGTGTGATATATAATATCACCCAGGGCTTATATTACCCCTATATGTAACACAGCGCATTTGTTTGCCATTTAACCAGCACAGCTGAGCAAGCTGACTGGCACACAGGGCAGAGGCACCTTGCTTAGCAGTTGCTTGTTAGGAGAAAGCCAGAACGGAACTACATTTCCTGATAATAATGAACATTGCTGGAGGAGCAGCAACATCTGCTTGGGGGCTCTGTGCCTTTCAGAAACACTTGGGCCCCCTGTGGTAGACCTCTGGAAGTTCTTTAAAGCTGGATTTAGCTTTGCTTTAGGTCTTTTGAGATAAACTATGCCAGTTCTCATTTAAAAAAAAAAAAAAAAAAAAAGAAAAGAAAAAGAAGAAAAAGGAAAAGGAAAAGAAAAAGAAAACAACAAAGAAAATCAGTGAGGAGACTGGATGCAAAAAAAAAAAAAAAAAAAAAAGTATTCCAAGAGGGAGGACAGAAACTGGCTCCAGGGGAGAACAGTGAGACAATGCAAAGTCCCTATGTTCATTTCCAAATGCCCAGGCTTTTAACAGCACTTGCTGAAGCCAAAAGTGCTAAGGTTCCAACTTCTTCCTCCTTGCTTTTCTGTGAGCCACATCCTGCTGCCACAGCCTTTGTGCATAAATGCATAAAAGTGATACAGAACATAGTCTTTCCCTTAACAAAATCAGCATAAAATGAAACACAACCTTAATAAAGACAATAAATAATTTTGCAGCACTTTTTAGGCTCATCTTAGAAGATGAGTAGACATTTAAATAGTACTATGCTTGGCAATGCCCTGCTGTGAAGGGTACTACATCCTGCTCCCTTCATATCAGTGGTAAAACATATACTGACAGGAATGCATCAGGTATGCAGCTGTTTTGTAAAATATCATCAGCTTTGGTTTCAGTCTCTACTGTCTGATCAATGGGCTTGTTGGAAAAAAAAATTTTCTGGTGCCACTAAACCAGTGGTCAAAGCAGAGCACCACATGGTGTCCATGAACGCCCTGAGTTTGGCAGACACTAATTCAGAAAGCAATGTCCAGAAAAGCAAAACACCCAGTCCTCCGTTACACTGTGGGCAAGCTAGGTGATATCAGTGTTTCTTTGCTCTTTGGATCTGTCTTTAATAGCTTTCTTCCATAGCAGACTGCTTTTCATTACTACTTAAAATAGACATTACTGCTAAAGTTAGTACCTTTCATGGTATTTTTCCCTTCCAGCAAGGCTACTATTAATCCTTAAATTTAAAATGTTCTGGTTTTGTCTGACATCGCAGTCACATCTATCTTTTTTGAGAACTTGACAATAATACAGCCAAGGATAACCACTTACTTGTGAAAGAATGGAGCTGAAAATGAACTCCTACCTTGTAGCAGGAAATCAGCTACCAGCTGGTCAGTCCTGAACACTGCTGTGAAGACTGGACAGTTGCACTACTGTCACACTGATGCTACAAGCCAGCTGAACTCTGTAGTCACATAGTGGGGCATACCTGAAATATTGGAGATGCAGCATAAGCTTATTTCTTATTGAGTATCATGCATCCAAGAATAAATTTCACTTTGAATTGTCCCAGTGACTCACTAACACCCCGAAGCAATAAGGTACTGTGTATTCTGGAGCTCACCAGAGCTGCTGTATCCACATCTTTACAGATGGACACCTACATAAGCTGAAAATTGTGTGAAAATACCAGGTCCCCCCAAACGTTGTGTTTTCCTGCTGATTTGTGTTTATTCAACAGAAAGAGCCAAGCAGACAATGTGACCTACAAGCTCTGCTTAGTGAATTCTCATCTTACTGACATTTCTTAGTTTGGTAATCCTAGCTGCTCCTCAGGGACTCTGGGCTTAATATTCAGTGTCTCATCTTGTAGGATCTGAGGCCTAAACCTCAGATAAAACCTCAAGAATGTACTTCCTCAGGAATATAAAAGCTGAAGAAGCCTGGAAATAAGTGGTGATGAAACAGACATTGAAAAGAAAATACAGTGGGTGTTTGTATTGTTACTTGTAGGAAACTCTTAGGAACTTAGCCTTGTGAATGGAAGAGCATTTCTTGAAGAAGTGGAGTATGACTCTCTTGTTCAAAAGTATTGGTTGACGTAAGTGGGAATATTCCAATTATTCTTTTTTTTCTATTGAAAATCTATTGAAAATCAAAAATTGAAAATTTCTATTTCTATTCTTTTTTTCTATCATCTCTTCATCAGAAAGAGGCAAAGGAGAGCTGACACAGCCTCTGCATCCATAGCTAGCTCCTTCCCAAAGGCCTCACACGGCCGCAAAGCACACTAAAGGCTTCCCCAGCCCCTGCTATCTGGTAATAGGATGCCTGAGGTGACAGCTGGAGCAGCACAGACAACAGCCATCTCCTTTCCTGCCATGGTAAGACTTCAGAAAAAGTTCCTTGTGAATGTGTCCTGCCTTTCAGGTCTAGCAACAGTATTTTAATATTTGTAAAATTAAGTCACACCGTGGCATTTCAAACTAGCACCTAGGTATCCTTCTGTACTACAACAACATTAATAAGGCTACTACCAAACCTTGGTGGTCAGGGTAGTTTTTGCTACTCTTCCTTTGAATAGTTTACTGGGAGTCAGAAGCTATTAAATGATAAAGGGCTAAACAGAATGAATGTGGCACCAGCAGCTAAAGATTCAGACATCAAAGAGAGAAGATTAGAAATAACTGGATGATGTTAAAAACAGCAAAGTGATTGTTTCCATAGCAGAAAAACTTTCTGACACAAAATATATCAGCATATAGAACTAGTTCCTGGGGGAAACACTGGCAGCCCACTGACTGAACAGTCCAAGAGGTTTATGGAAATTCAGAGTGAGACAGAAGAACACTTGTTGAAAGTCATCTAAGCACTTGCCATTTGTAACTTCTGGCTGACATTCTCTGCCACGGGAGTATAACTTCTGAACAAGTTGTAATTAGAAAGCAACACAGAGCACAGAAATTATTCTTATTTCAGTCATTTCGAAGGGCACTTTTAATTGGCATTATTCAAATGCAAATGCCCTCAGATATGAATAACAACACAGTTTTAAACTCTCTCCCAAATTATTCCAAGTTTCTCAGTGAGATTCTTTCAGAATGGGCAACTTATATCCTGCTGCCCATTTAAAATAATAAGAGAGAGAAACTTTGGTTAATTCTGAGCTAAATCTTACTGAAACTCCTTTGTAATGAAAAATGGAGAAGTAGCTCAAGAAAGGAATCGGTGAATCATCAACAGCAAGAGTGCTGGAAAACCAACCTTCAACACGTTCAAAAGACTCTGAGCACTGGGATGTGTGTATAGGTATCTATACAGAGTTCTGAAAAGAATGAACATTCGCTCTCAGGGTTGGTCTGGTAGGAGAGCAGAGAGCTGCTGTTTGTATAGCTCTTGCACCTGAAGGAGCTGTGACTGAATAAAATTCATCAAGGATGCATGGTACTGAGAGCAGTTTCTGCACTTAATTGAAATAAAGCATTCTTCCATTAGTCACTCATGCCAAAAGGATAATAATGCTTAAAAAAAAAAATCCTTATTTTGCAGAGATCTCACTATTACTTAGGCAGTTCCTAACTTCCAAGTAAGACATTTCTGCTGGATATTTCTTTGCAACATAGAATGCAGTGACTTTGAGCAACGATTTTCTCTTATCATAAAATATTCTATGTATATATTAGCAAAATTGTTTCATACTCAGGAAGTGTGACAGTACTGACATTTTGTCCTAGGTAGGAATACGTACTCCTGGAACGTATAATTTCACATAGGTCTGCTGAGGAGGGAGCAAAGATGTGTGAGACAAGCAAGATTTGTGTTGCAACTCATACTTCACTGAAATTTAATTTACTGGTTGGTGGATATTTTCCAATTATGTGAAAATGGACGTGTGCAGTGGAGCACACGGCGCATGTTACGAACAGCATGTGTCTTAGTGTCAGCTAAGGACATACACTTATTTGTGTTTAGTGGAAATCTAAACCTCTAGCATCTTGAAACAAAACCATCTTGGTGGCTTCAGCAGCTGGAGATAGTTACTGTGCTTCTGAAGCAGGCTATGAAATTTCTGACAGAGAGGAATCGGCACTGTCAGACCTGCTTCAGCCATCGAGGAACACTGAAGGCTGTACTTCTCCCACTTCAGGCACTTATCAGCTCAACAGTGTTACAGGGTCTGAGATGCACATCTTTTCCCTTAATTTGCTTTTCCTTTTGCCTTGGGATAAGCCCCCTCTAGAATGCCGTTTCTTCCAAAAACGATCTCTGAAGGAAACTGAAAACAGACCAGTCACCTGCAACAACTTTGTACTGTCTTAATATCGTATTTATAGCATAGCCAACACATCCTCCTAAAGGCTGAAGAAACAAGCCTTTACACCAGGTTTTTGCAGCACTTTTAGGTAATCTCTGAATTTATAAATAAATAAATAAAAAGGGATGCTTTATAGATTGAGTTCACAGAACCTTCCCAATTTGCTCCCCCTCTTTTGATTCACAGATCCTGTGGTTGGCAGTCACCTCCAGCCCCAAACTCACGTCATCCCACCCAATATTGCCTTTGCCAGACTTTTCATGGGGAAAGCTCCTGCACTCCTGGGAACACAGGCTGGGTCTCCCTCCAGTTCTCCCTTTCCCCAAGACACTGCTTTATTCCTCTCCATTAACCACTGCAAAATCTCTTACAGAAAGAACTGGGATTTGGTTACGATGCATCACACAGAGCTAGGAACATGAGCCAGCACAGCTCATCGAGCTTCATCTCAGCACTTCATTATAAATAATCACAACGGGAGTTGGAATAGTGACCCTATTTTGGGCTCCAAATAAAATAAATAATCTCTGAGGTTTTAGGAAGTTAGGGCTGAAATTTATATTTAACTAATCAGTGAGGCAATTTTTGCAGGCAAATACTGTTTTCAAAGCCAGACCTAACCACCTCCAAAATATCTGAAACTGTTATTTTGGTTAAGGGATGCTTCTAATAACAACCAGTAAATTTGAAGAATAACAAAGCAATTTTAGCAATACAGGCACCTGTTTATTCTCAGTATTCTTCTCTCTGTAATGAGATTCTTATTTCAAGGTTGGCTCTTTGGTTCAGTGGCATTGAGTGCCTTAGAAATGCCTCCAACTGGCATGTTTAGCAATGAAAATCAGCCTGTGGCACTGAGCGGTTTGTACAGGAGCTGCCTTTATTCGTGCCCTCCACTCATTTAAAAGACCTCCACATTTCTATTTCATCACATTTGAAAGACAAATGAATTTCACATTAGATCAATATCCATGAGCAATTAAAATAAATATGAACCAAACACTGTTATCTCTCTATTAGAAAACTGGAGTATCATTGCTTTGGTAACAGAAGTAATGGTCCCATAATTGACACAGGATAGATAGCTGGAAAGGAAAATAATGAAGTTGCCCAGGGTGAATTTGAAGCAGCAAAGACTTTTAACTAAAGACAAAATAATTTGAAAGTTTTAGCTAAGAAATAATGGGAAAATGAACTGAACACTACCACAGAAATAGCTCTTGCAGGCTTAGATAAAAAATAGAGCAATTGAGACTTGAAGACAACATTGGCACTGATTATAAAAGTAGAGACAGAAAATTAGAGAAAATGACAAAATGTGATGCATAGATACTGCCCTCTTTCAAGTCACTGTTTTCCATGGAATTGTTCAAGAACTAAAGCGTGAGTTGGGAAAGAGGGTGAAGAAATGAGATTGCATCACTGTGGAATAAATCTTCTTTTACTGAAGAGTAAATCATCTCTAGATTCATGCTTTCCTGTGGTGCTAGGGTACATAAACAGTTATCTGCACCTTTCTGTTTCTTCCCAGCCTGGGGTAGAAATACAGGCAATGTGTCCAAGCCCTGTACATGTGCATCACCACCGCTTAACACATCCATGGCAAGTCCCCAGGCAAAGCGTTTAGCATCATGTACAGCAATGCTAGCTGGCAACAAATGTACAAATGAACAGAATGCATACTTTGTAGCCTGATCTGATGAATTTATCACGTAGGGGCAGTTCAATGGAGTGGCTGATCTGAGGACAGAGAGTGGCATTTCTCTGCAACCCTCAGTTAAAACTGCCAAAGAATGAAAATAATCAGGTAGATCACTGTATTAATCTCTGCTCTTTTTTACATGGACAAATTTCTAAGAAAGTAAGAGTAACCTCAGAAATGATGTGTATGGATGGCATCTCTAAATCTGATACTGGGACCAGTAGGATTCATTCACACTGTCACCACCATTTCACTTATCGCATCCCAGTTTTTCAGCCAGCTAAATCCTTTAAACAAATCAGGAAGAGAAGCAGAATTGTATAAGCAAAGTGTTGTTCTGCACTCCGCAGCCATTTTGCAAACACACAGATATCAATGCCAAACGTGTGAGCATTGTAACTGAGGTGTCTTGGCTGTAATCCCACTTGAAAATAGGGTGGTTCAGTCACAGACCTGGTGCTTGGCTGTGCAATACCCAGTCTGAGTGGGATACAAAGGTGATTTCATTCTCCCTACAAGCATTCTTACTCAGGAGTAAATCATCATCTTCTGTAAGAGAAAACAGCCTCAGAGATTCCTTGTTCTCTGCCTGCTTCCTAACAGGCTCTGCAGCTCAGCAGGAAACTACAGGGTACACTTCACTAGGCAGAGCAAAGTGGCCTCGGGCTGCAGCTCCGTCCCATACTCATCACTCTGCACTCTCCCAGGGAGAGCATTCTACACTTTCATTTTTGCACTCCTGCAAGCAGCAATGTGTGTGTGCATGTAGGGGAAGATAGCAGAAGCTCTGACTTCAGCAGAATCAAGTAGGCATCTTCCCCAGACTGCTGTTGTGCTGGAGATGTTAGTAAGTGCATCAAGCAAGAAAAACACCTCCAAGCTACTGCCACCTCCCCTGTGCCCCCTCTCAAAACCTATGAACTGAAACAGCATAAAGGGCAGCATTTAACATAGGGTAGTAATTCTGGCACATTGTGGTGGTGAGCAGCATCACGCTTAACTTCCTCTTAAGGAATAGCTACTTAAAACAGTAATATTTTTAATCAGCTAGTCCTACTGCCTCCCACTTTCAGCAGGTTGCCCAGTCTTTGCTTACATTTTCATGTGATCCAAAGCTGATTTTCTATTAACTGGTGTAGATGTGCTCGCAGAGGGTAATGTATGTTTAACTCACAACTAAATAGTTGCCAGTGGTGCTATACTGTTTTTAGTGGGTGGTGCTCTGTTAAAAGATGAATTTAAAACCATCAGCAATACCCGCAATCAAATGTATATCTAATACATGTATATAACAGAAATATCCTTTCCTACAACATTCGATGAAGATCTCAGATGAAAGTTTCTGACCTTTCACTTCATAATGTAGG